ATACCATCGTATTCATCACTGATAGTTCATGCGTTTACAACTGGATAGTCAACGGAGCTCATAAACCAACAGTGTACATGGATAATCGTTTGAAGAAAATAAAGGAATTATCTAGTAAAGACCAGTGGACGTGGACTCATTCAGAGCTACAGGTAGCAGATTATGGAACAAAGTTTGACTCTATTCCCCAACTGACTACCAAAAATGAATGGTTTGAACCAAAGATTTTTTGCTTGCCCGAGGATGACTGGCTGCATTCGAAACCACCTGATGATAAATCACCACAAGAATTCTCTCATTTTATCAGAGATAATCACCCAGCCCAAAAAAGATATGCAAGAAATTTTCTCTTTAATTTCATGATCAAATGTTTTAATATAATTACAATATTTTTAAAATCGTTCTATATAGTCGCTGCTATTTTAAATTCCCTAAAATCAATGATTTCTCGACATTTCCCTAACCTATTTCAACATTCTCAATTAATCGAAATATGGCAGTATACTACTCAAGATAATAACAACCTTGAACTAAATAAAAAGTACTCGTCCTGGAATAAATTGCTTAAATTGACTCAAAAGCTATTAAGATGGAAATGGGAGGTAAAAATAAGAAGAGCAATAAGGATGAAATGTGATTCAAAAGAGATACTTCAATGGAAGTCACATGAATTTCAGGAAAATTACGCTGAAATGTTAATTATCAAGAAGGCACAAAGAGATTTTTACTTGGAAGAAATACAGAATTTAGAATCCGGAAATAAAATTAATAAGAAGAGTAAATTATTCAGGCATAACCCGTTTCTGGATGAATTTGGTATTATGAGAATAACAACACGTCTATCTGGAGCCAACAATTACTCTCGAGATAAGATAAATCCCATAGTGCTCCCCAACAATCATCCCACTACGAAACTAATAATTTTGCAATTTCATCACAATAATCATCATTCACACCTTAGTACTATCATTTGTAACCTCCTACAAAGATTCCATATATCAAACATTGCGTGGACAACGAAGCGAATTATCCAAGAAAATTGCTTTAAGTGCCGAAAATTTAATGCCAAGCCAGATACCCCCATGATGGGAGATCTTCCTAGTTATAGACTTGCCTCACATACTAATCCCTTCACATACTCAATAGTGGATGTTTGCGGCCCATTTATAGTTACTATGAATAGAAGGCATCACAAGAGATGGCTATTTGTCATTTCCTGTCTCACCACACGCGCAATTCACATCGAAATACTTTATTCAATGACGGCGCAGTCATGTCTAATGGCATTACAAAATTTTATTCATTTAAGAGGCGCGCCACGAAGAATCATATCGGATCAAGGTTCCAATTTTTTAGGTGCAAAAAATATTTTACACGAAATGGAGACCAAATGGAACCAAAAATTGAAAGAATTAGGAAAGATCTCAAAGAACATTGAGTGGGACTTTAATCCAGCAAAGGCATCTAGCATGAATGGTTCAGTTGAGCGAATGATAGGATTAATAAAAAATGTATTGAGAAACTTACATGAGACACTAAACAAGAAATTCATCATACCTGGAGATGAGGAGTTTAGATGCATAATATGCGAAATCATTGGTATGCTCAACAACCGCCCACTAACAATGCTTCCAATGAAAGACACAAATAACTGTTTTTTAACCCCCAACTATTTTCTACAACTTCGACCTAACTTCCAAAGCCACCCTAGTAATAAATCATACAACAAATGCACGATTAAGGAGTGGCAGGACGTGAAAGCATTAGTAAATGTCTTATGGGACCATTTTAACCGAGCATACATTAATGAAATCATGCATCGTGATAAATGGATTGACTACAAGAAACCACTAAATATTGGGGATATTGTGATTTTGGCTGATCCATCAATAAATAACCTATGGCGACTAGGTGTGATCACGGAAGTGCACGAAGGATCACAGAATCAAACAAGAAAGCTTTCGGTGCGATTAGGGAAGAGAAGCGTGATTAACGATCATTCAAACAAAAATCACGACGTTTTAATGAAAGATTATAAAAAAGAGAAGTACACCTACGTTACGAGACCCACATCACAAGTGGCTCCATTAAATCTATTTGTTTCGGATATACATCAATTCAATCAGCAATAAAATTAAAAAGAATTACAATTAATTTTACCACACTACAACATATTGAATTAAATAATTTTAGGACCTCCATAATATTCACTAATTAAACATTCACTAAATTATCTACATAATTTCAGATGAAAGATATCAACCGCGAAAAAAGACTGATTCAGCTTAAAGACGTGCCAAAGCACTTCTCAGCTGATGAAATAGCATACGAAATAAGAAAAATTATGAATTATGATGTAACAACGGAAAAAGAAATGAAAGATTTGGCAGGAATATTTCTTGAAGAAGATGGTAATAATAATACCCACGTAAAGTTTTACATTTTCTTTCTTTCTATCAATAGCATTAAGAAGTTTTTAAACTTATGTCACGTGATCAATGAAAAAAAGTTCGTTTACATGTTCAATCAAGCAATACAAGTACAATACAAACAAGAGGAAATATGGACGTTAATGACTGCTGAACATATTAATGAGCAACTGAGTGACAAGGAAATAAGAGTAAAAAACACCACATTCACAAATATCTCGACGCTTATCCATCTGCTTCCCGAGCATACAAGAAGCTCAATTAAACATCATCAAATATTTTCGATCATACAAAACACAAATTCGATCTTCATTCGCTTCAGCTCAAAGGAAAACGCAATTCGTGCGAGAACGATGTTGGAGAGAGAAGGAATGCAAACTGAATATTCAAAAACTTACGTATGTCTGTGTAAAGAACTCATCGACGAATTTCCAGTTCCAAAAAAGAGACTCAGCGAGCAACCAATCCAATCTGCAGACAGCAACATGCACAAAAGATCCAAAATAAGTTATATTGATGAGAAGCTAAAAGAAAAAGGTAATGAGTCATTAAATTCAGACACTAATATTCAAAATTCTCTACAGATAAAAAACAAGAACATAAAATTACTCGATTTAACTAATAATCAAAGCAGAAATGAGGATGTTCTGATGCTCACACATGATATCCAATTCAGCGATGATGAATAGCGATCAGGAAATTGAAATTAATCAGCCGTTAAAAGAATTACATAAAAATTAAAGAAATTTCTAAAAACGAAAAAGAAAATGAGAAAAATGTATGAAATAGCCTGATAATTACCTAGAATTTGATGTAAATCCAAAGACAGTCACTTCCAATTGCTATTACTGCTTTATGATTCGTTGAAAACACTCAATTAACTAATAATTTAACAAAATTAATATGTAATGTAACTTACGTTGCGCGAGAAAATTTAAAACGTATGTCTCAAACTGACATAACTGGCATAATTTTCAAATTCAAATTTCAACCGAACGTTTTTTAACGGCTATGCTTATAAAATAACATGAGTGAAGAATAAATTGTTAATTTAAGTTTCCTTGGTTGCCCGAGTGTCAAGAAATTAAATCTTTCTTGCTTTATGAAATATCTAACGATAATTTCCCTTTCAAACACTCGCTGAAAATTACAAACAAATATGAATATGCTGCATACGTGAAGACAATTGCTGGTAAGCCAATGTAAAGAGTGAATTGGAAGTGATCGAAAGGGAAAGTTTTCCTTAAACCGCATTTTATTGTAAGAGTTAAGAATTATATTTAAAAGATAATACTATTAGTAACAATTTGAACTAAACAATAGATTTGAGCAATTCCGAAAGGACCAAACAATAAAAAGATTTGAGTTGAACTGGATGTGCTTTCATCGCCACGCTGCTTGATTCTTCTACCTTCCAGCAAAATATTCATTCATAAATAGTGTTCATTTAAAAGGTAGGAAAACTATTTCATTGCTCCAACATTTCACCAACAAAGTGTACTAAAGTATAGTAAAGTATAGTAAAGTTTAGTAAAGTATAGTAAAGTTACGTAAAGTATAGGTTAGTGAAGTTAAGTATAGTAAAGTGTAGTAAAGAGGAGTTAATTGCAGTAAAGTTGAGTAAAAAAGTAGTGATTGCAGACATAGTGCATAGTTCAAATTTGAAAGTTCCGTTAAATTATGATTGCATGTTACATTCATAAAAAAGCAACTTCTTTGCTCACGATAACAATTAAGTAAGCAATTATTGTTTGTGGGAATTTCCCAAGATCATATGTGAAACAAAAGCAGTCAGCATTGATATTATTACATGCTAAAAAAGAGTGTAGGGGAGGAAAGAAAAATCTCAATTAAAAAAATTGTAGCATTGCATTAACATAATTAATGAAAGCGAAAAAGAATGGAGAATCAAAAAGATTTACGAATTGACTATAACTCGTGATGAAAATAGCTGCTCGGGAAGAATTATTAAATTTTCAAATATTCATGAATTTTTAAGTGTGGGAAACGACGTAAGAACTTTAATTCAACTTTTTTCTTGCGAGTCTTTTTTTTCGTGTATCTTCTAAAGATCAATAAAACTTCGAGGCACAAAGTACAAATTCAGGGACTTGAATTGAAAGCAACAAAGTTGAAATATTCAGCACACAAAAAATATGATTATTAATGTCCACATGCTTCAAGCCATTTTTCCCATGCTACATATTCATTTGGATTGTCGACGAAACTTTGAAATTAAAATAATCAGATATTATAAAACGAATAATAATGGAAATAACAACAACAACAGCATGTAGTTAGCGGAATTCATATATTTTTTAAAAGTTTTCATTAGAAAACCGTGAGAAAAATTTCTGGAAAAGATTCTATTCTGATTCAATTTTATTTTGGTGGAAGTAGTTGACAGGCAGGCAACAACGTTGTCGTAATTAGCAAAATTATTGTTTAACAGTCGTCGACCGGGAAGACAGTGAGGTCATCTAAGACAACATCGTTAGTGTCATTAGATCAGCAAAAAAAAGAATGCTAGTTGGAAGCGATTAAAACACAATTTTTATAATTTTTTCTGGAAAATTGTTTAATTTTTTCATTTATTTAATTTCTACAATTGTTTCATTCATTCATTCTCAATATATAGATGTATATAAATTACAATTTACTGTCCAAAAAGATCCTTAAGTATATAAACTAAAGGTTTTTCTTCTCACTTTTCATTTAGTAAAATACTATTGATTTTTCTCTATTTACAAAAATATCTTAAGATTCTCAAGACATACATCTACCTCTACATCTTTTTTGTTAAAATCCGATTGTTTCCATCAGTTAAATATGTCCATTACTTATTAATGAAACTTTGTTCATTTTTTCACATCGCAAATTTTCAATTTGGTATTGTTCATTTTTTTTTTGATGAAAATGCATTCGCACAAGTACATTGTCTATGTTGTAAATTATTTAATCTTAAAAAAATAATTCAAAATCTAACGGTACAAATTATTTTAAATTTTATGCTTTTTTTTCAAATCTAGAAAAACCGTTAAACGTTATGCGAATGCATTCAATCACATTTTTCGTTGATAAATTGTCTAACATCGGAAAGTAATTGCATAATAATTTGATGGGGGGAAAATACTACTTAGGTAAAAATAAATAAAAATCTACAGTATAAATTGGCATATATTCCAACAAAGCGAAGAAAATCCTCCTTCCTAAATTAATGACTGTCTTTTTCTGCACTTTAATTGTCTTTTTTTAAAATTTAAGTAAGGAATTATCAAAAAACCTTTCATTAACATCCTGAAACATTCAGGCATTCTTCCTTAATTGTTTGTTCTTTGGTTCATAGAAACAATTATTTCTATTCGATGTTTTTTTCTTTAAGTTTGTCATTGGAAACTCCCTGAACATAAGAAAAGATTTCTCTTTTTTTAATTTTTTTTTAGGATTATTTGATCACCGAAAATAATAATAAAGTATTTTAGCACTTCCTGAGAGCATTGCACGTTTACGTATTAAAATAAATTTCGAACAAAATCCAACTATTATTGAAGTCCAGTGTGCATATTCCAAGATGACATTTCTGATATTGATGGTAATGAAGGATAACTTTGATTAAGGCTCACTGGTGACATAGTGGCTGTTGACGGTGTACTGCTACTATTACTACTTGGATTGTGATTCGCTGTATTACTTGGACTATTGTTATTATTATTTGCATTGTTCTCAGTTCTCGTACGATTCTGTGATGCTCTCATTACGTCATCCGCCTGTGTGTAATGCTGTCTTGGTCCCGGCTCAGGCCTAAGTTGAAAAAAAAAGAAAAATAAATTTATATTTATAAGAAGAAAAAATCAAACGGCTTTCAAAAATTCAAAACTTGTTCATTTTTTGTAGCTTTCAAATTCTAATTATTCGTTGAAAAATAATTAAAGGCTTAATTAGAGTTAATTGAGATGCTTACGTGTAGGTAAATGTTAATCCGGTTGCGTAGATGATGCCATCATTACGCACAAGAGTAACAGGCACTTGGGTGGGCTGTCGAACCTATGAGAACGAATTAATAACGATAAATAATGATGAATGGAGAATAAATATGAAAAAGAGATTTAAAGAAAGATGAATTAAATTAGGTATGTGCACAAATTAGCGATGCACATATGTATGTGAAAATTCTCACGCCATTTCCAGTTAATTAAATCACATCAATTAGTGGTATTTTTAATATTTATGAAAATGCAAACGGATGTTAAATTAATTAATTGGATCAATTGGAATAGAACGAGATGAGAGGTCGATCGAGTGTGCACGCATAAATGGGAATCAAAACTTACCCAAAGCCATTCACCGCGAAATTGTGAAATGTCAGGAACGACACATAAAAGTGCTTCAGCACATCTGTACATTGTTTCTGCCTCAACATCACCAAACCAAACTTGAAGTGCAGGCGTGAAATTTTCACCAGCTAATTCCAGCATGGCAACATCTCCACCACCGTTGAGATTCAATGAATGCACGACTGGAACTGGCGTCACTGGCGTTCTAACAGGTCCCATTCCTTCATAAAATTGATATTCTGCCTTGTCTGTTGAGATAATTGTCCAACATGCTCCATCATTAATCATTTCCTTATTCGCCTCTTTTGGACATGGTGTTGCTTGAAATTGAATAATCTTTTCTTGCGATAGACATAAATACATTCGCTCTGTATCTTTCATATAAAATGCACATTTATGTAGTTGTGAAACGGGATCGTCAGCTTCCAGCAGTGCCATTTGTTTATCAACTTTTCTAATCACTAAACGTGGCAATGCCATTCCTGTTACACTACAAACCAATTTTACAGTAGCACCATAATGAACATATCCATCACGAACCTGCAAAAATCATCGTAAATTATCTATAGTATTTTAAAAATAAAAAAGAATATAGCACAGGACTTACTGCAAACTCCTCAGACTCGCTCTCATTATCGTCAAGTAAATGTATAGTAAATGCTCCCCATTGAGTCGAGCTCGCGTGAAAATGTCCATTTTCGACATGAAGATATCGAGTCGACACAGTCTGCGACCGAAGTCGATTGAAGAGAGCAACTTTAGTCCCACTAGCTATACAGAGATCAGCATTCTTTAATGATTGTTTCTTTTTTGAGGGCTTCGAAATGACTTTGATTCGCTTTGAATTAAATAAGCCAATATCGTGTCCATTTCCATAAAACATTTTTACACTTAACATAAAATGCTTCCGTTTATCAGAATCAGAAATAAATAAAGTCTTTGCGGCACAGTACTGTTTTCCATTATTGAGGTCCAACTGTTGCATATCGTGATCAGAATTTCCTATACCAATAAAGGCACATAATTGAGAGCCTTGTTCACTTTCACCTTTCCTTAACATTTGCTCCTGTCGAAGACGCCAGCCTTCACCAAATAAATATATACATGGCGGTGGACAGAAGAATCTCTTCTCGTTACCATATGACTTTTGTGCTACCTATTTTGAAAATAAATAATAAATAAAACTTTGTACCAGTTTCATGAAATCTCTTTGAGTAAATGCAGTTCATTCGTTCAGTCTTAATTATCATGTTATTTAGATCAAAATGAGGAGGAAAAACGTGAAAACAAGGCACAAGATAGATTGTCATCTCTTGTAAATGCCATTTTAGGACTTTTTTTTACACAGAATTCATAGATTCGAGTAATGAAGTCTTCATGTTAAAAATAATAAATTATGAGGAGACATTTCAGTCACTCACAAATAAAAAACAAGCACTTTTCATCATAAAAAAAAATAAATAATCCGATTTTCATCAGTTGCTTTGGACTGAGTTAAATTGTTCTATTTTCTTCCCCAAGAGACACACAAGAAGCAAGTGACGATAAAAATTGTTGAAAGACAGCAAAGTTGAGTAAGTCTTTTGAATTTACAAGTCGTAAGAAACTGGATCAGGGAATAGAGAGGAATAGAAGTGCATAATTTTCTATGATGATTGTGGATATACTTAGTCATGTCATAGGTAAAAGACTTAAATTAAATTGATTGTAAGTGATATAAAGTCGGAATTAGTAGTGTTTTTGAACACAATTTTCAGACATTTCCAGAAAAGAGATCATCCTCATTATTCTCATCTTAATCGATTAGTTTTACTGGAATCAATAGATTTGTTTTAGTATGACTTTTTTTAACTTGGATCGACGATAAGTAAGCATAAGAAATGTGTATTGAACCTCCACTATCAACTTTCTGGTACTTAAATTGGAACTCTGTCAATTTTTATGCTTTTGTGTGCTGCTTTGTTGGAATTAAAAAACCTTTGATATTCACATCAATTGTTGGAAATATTATAATTTATGCGACTTAAATGGGAACTTATAACTTTAATGCATTTAATAATCAAACATGATACTGTGAGGCATTAAGATATAGGACCATTAATAATCCATAAATTGAGGAACAATAGTCCAGAAGATCAAGAGTTTATACTCTCAAAACTATCCAAAGAATATGAACCAGGGAAAAGTAAGTCTCACAGGACAAAACGACCACAGCATTAAGCAATTGACATAAAAAGTCCTGTAGAAAAGATTATGAAAGGAAAATTTGAAGCGCAATATCGTTTATTTTTTGAGAGAATAAATTTATGCACAATCCTCAAAAGTTCCCGCAAACATAATTAATATATATATATATATATATATATATAGAGACGAACAGAGGAAAAGAAAGAAAAACTTCTCCTTTCGAAGTGAATTTTTCTGTTCCTGAAATTCTTGATGCGGAAATAAATTCACAGAGACGAGCTTTTTATTTTATTCATTTTGATTCGAGTGGATCTAAAAGATAATCCCCAGCTTGATGATAATTGAAAAAATAAGTTGAAAAATCAGAAGCATGGGAACCTTAACAATTGTTTGTTGTTTTTAATCAACACAAAATATAGATAATAAAATGTACGGAATAATAATAAATGACTTCCAGTCAGTCACTCACTCAAAATAATAAAAAAAAAAAAAAAACATAGCTACTGCACATTAAGTATTTACGTAGAGATATTCTGAATATGATGACTGACTACACATGACAATCGTCAGCAGCAATGAGTAATTACCTTAGCATGTAAAATTACAATGATCATGTCATTGCGATTTCGCAGATATTTCTCCATTGCCTCACGTGTAAGTCTCTTATCGTCACTCCGAAACAATGAAGATGTTGTGGATGTTCCAGCGGATTGTGATGTTTGAATAGCACTTGATGAAACAATTGCATTATTAGGACTTCCATTTTCCGATGATCCAGTATAGATTGTCGCAGCATTTCCCAAATGTTGCGTAACAATTGTTCCTGTATGTTGTAATGGTGAATCTAATTGTGGCGTTGACTGGCCAAACGTTGTAATTCCTCCATAAGGCATCCTTTACAATTATGCACATAAATTTGTGTACAATTTTTTTCTTGTTCCTATCTTCTTCTTGTTATTCCTTCAATTTCACTCAAATCTCTCTATTCTGATCACCATCACTGATTAATAAGTTTATGATAAATTATATTAAATTTCATTTAAATCATTATTTTGCAATGTAGAGGCAGGCAGGCAGACTAAGGTTTTATGTTGTTAAATAAAAAAAAAATAACAAATACAAACAAAAAAATTCTCTTTCTCAAATTCTCTTTCCCTAACCTCAAACTTTTTGTTTTTTTCACAATTTATGCTCGTTATTTAAATAAATTAATGTTTTTAGGATATTTCCTCGCACTCATCATTCACTTATTAATTATATTAATTAATTTATTTATGTTCAGGTGAGTAGTTTAAGTTACAAATATTGAAATTTCAATTCTAGCGTCTGTTATTTTAAATTTTATTCTTTAATTAACTTTTCACTACTTTTCATCCTACTTAATTAACTTCACAATATTCCTTAGCCACTAAACTCCATTTTCACTAACTTCACAGTATCAGTATTTGTATAAAAGTCTGTTTAAAAATACAAATTTGTGATTTTCAAAACCAAAAAAATTGTTTAAAATGATGAACTGACTTTCTCGGTGGAATAATGTTGAATGAAACATAAAATACTTTTTTTTAAACGTAGAAAAACGAGAGAGAGGAACTGCAGAGAGGATTCTATAGATGTATGTGAGAGAGACAAATTATTGTATACGAAGTTCTTGGAAATTATGTAGTAAAAGAACAGATTCATTGATGAAAGTAAATTGTCTTGATTTTTGCATGCTAAGAATTTTAATCATGCCTGTATTATAAATTCCAACAATGTACTTCCATGCACTATAGATAAGTTCAATCAATTACATACTTCTCGCTCGTTTTGAAACATCCAGTGAAGTAAACTGAGTAATTTACATTAAAGAAGAAGAAACGGAGATACAAAAACACAAAAATGAGAGTAAATTCTATATTATATCCATCATAAAGCAAGCAGCATTGCTCGTCTAATTAAATATGAATTTTGAGAAAGATAAAAAATGACATTACACAATTAGTTAAATAATTAAACAATGATATTCCTACATAATCTACATTTATTGATTTTACATTAAGTGCTATACTCTCTCCTTGTTCATTTTATGGTATAAATCTCGTTAAAAGTAGTTTTTATGGCGTGGGAATTTGAACCACCTGTGAACAAAATCGTATGTCGCTTTAAATTGTATTTTGAAAACAAGTCAATAAGACTTCTTTTTTCCATTCGAATGGGAAAATGCAAAGGATTTCTTTTTTTTGCTCCTGATGTTTAACATCAATATTTAATTTCGCTAAAAGTTTTTTGACATTGTTTTTGCATCACGCTCGTAGCAAGAGAGTATTTTTTGACTGGATGGATCTTTTTGAAGATATTAATAGAATTTAACGGGTTTCAAAAATTTGAGCATAATTTTTAAATTCAATAAGTCCGTTAAATTTCAAAACTCAAAAGTTCGCTGTATTTTCTAATCCATTAAGCTCCAATAAATTCACATTTAATAATCCCTTCCAAATTTACCTTATCAACTGCGCCTTAAGATCACATCCAGCAAAAACTCACAGTTTTGACAAAATCATGAGATAAATAAAATTAAGAAATACTTGCATGATGCATTTCCTTTGATAAAGTACATATCATATTGATGAATCCTTACAAGAAGTTTCTCTTTGCAAAAGACGTAAAGAAGTAAAGAGAATCATCTCAAAATGCAAATATATCGTATATAATGCGTGGGAAAAAATCGACTGATGTTTGTATTAGTTCCCATCCTTTGACTGTTCCTACATATATACTTAAAGCAAATGTATTACTTGCAAACGATCACCAAAAAAAGTAATAAGAACGAAAGAGAAATGGACAAGAAGAAGAAATCAAGTTGATGAAGTGCTAAAAAATACCAACCGAAAAGCATTCTCTTGGTCGGTCGGTGTGTATATACATAGAACTTTACAGATATAAGTATATTCATATATATATGGACAAATCTATGAAAGACTTTTTTGTCAAAAAAAATCAATTTTTTGCAAATTTCTCGAAATTGGCTTATTGTTTTTGGTTCTTTAAACTTTTATATTGTAGAGAAAGTTGATAATCACTATTTTGAATTATGAATTATGAATTTTATGAGCGTTTACCTGTCAACAATATCGAAACTGAATTTTTTAATTCTTTAATTTTCTCTTTAACTAGCCATTTTAATATCACAAAATGGATCTCATCAAATTTTCGCTCCTATTAGCTTCCATTATGTGCTCTTATTATTTAAAATAATGGGTTAATTAAAGAGATATTTGCAACTAGTGTATCGGGTAGAAACCCAATGCGGATATATTCACACCGTACCATCAAAAGTATTATGGATAGACCAAGATTTGCTCAGCATAAGTTTGAAGGTTTAAAGCTTAACGAACATTCTTTGATTCTTTTTTCATCCAAAGTTTAATTTTATAAAAATCACAGTGAACTTTTGTTTTGAAAAATTCATAAGAAATGAAAGTTTTTTGCTTTTTCTGAAGCAACGACTGTTCCTACCTTGCCTAAAAACAATACAGCTCTTCTATAGAGCAGCACGGATCAAATGTAAAAAACTAGAAGTCTCTACCATGTGTCGTTATTGAGATTTCTTGCTGATTAACTTGCTTGCATGCTTGTTTGCTTACAGAAAGCGTATTTTGCGATTTTCTCAGCAATGCCTCAATCAATTTGAAATCTGTTTTTTGCAGATGATGTGAAATTTCAGGCACAAACTTTTTATCTAAACCTGTTAAGCTATCTTGCTCCATTTCCTCGTAACATTCGAAAAACTGATTTTTCAATCTGAACAAAACCAATAGATTCACACGTGAATACGGTGCGAATATAATCACACGTGAATATGGTGTGAATATCAAAAATAGAGTTTCGGTGTCAGCATTACAAATTATTTTAAATTTAATGTTTTTTTTTTAAATTTATCAAGTTTAGAAAAATTTCAAGTCGATTTCTAAAGTACCGTTTATTCATAGATTTGCCCATATATAGGTAATACATATACATGCTACCTTCTTCTTTTCTCGTGATGAAGAATACGACGGAATGAAAGAAATAAAGAATAAAGAGAGAGACGAAGTAAAGGAAAAAAAGTTCCCGTAGAAATTAATGACCATCGAACGAAAGAAGTGAGTTAAATGAAAGAAGAAGAAATTTAGTTCTCACCGTAGTATGAAAGTGCAAAAAAGAAAATACAAGAAGATATTCCTTATCATCATCATCATGCTTTTTTTCTTCATTTTTCTTCATTCTTGACTGATTTTTTCCCATGCTGAAGAAGAAAAAAAAAAAATAAAATCTTTAAGAAATAAAAAAAAAATATTATTCGCGTTATTTTTTTGATCATGATTTTTAATTCCTTCCTTTATAATTTTATAGTCCATTCCAATAAGATCGACAATTTTTTTGGGATGTCACTTTGACTATGTTTCTATAATGGAATCAACTTTAGTGAACACTAACTATACTATATATAGTAACAGCATAAGAAATCAGCAGAACTTTCACTGGATCTAGTCATAAAGTGTAATCAAACAACTTCTTTAATTTAACGGCTTTCAAAAATTCAAAAAGAATTTAAGTTGAATAAAAAATTTTAAATAGTTAAAATTTGAATTTTAAGTGTTCGTTAAAATGACAAAGGTTGAAATAAATTTTTTAAGAATCTTAATTTAATAATAACAGAAAATGCGCCTTAGGCTACCTTAAACAACACAAAATTATCAACAAGTAGATTAATGTCGTTCCTGTTGTTTCCTTCTTGGTCTTTAAAAAATGTAAATTAAAGAAATAAAAAACTATTTAAATACCCTCAAATGACTTTAAAGAGAAGAACCCCCCTCATGTCTCTATAATTTTCCTCCAAATACACATAATAATAATTATTATTATGCTAAGAATAAGAGAATTTAAAAAATCTCACACAAGACTTCCTGTTAACAATGCGTTATTTCTTATAAGAATAAAAAGAAAATTGTCTTTAAGAAGTGGAAATAAAATTGTAAATTAATTATTTAACTTCTTCTTCTTCAAACTTGATTTTATTTTTTTTCTCACCGTCCTTCTTTCCATAGATCATTATCTTATCTTTTCTCATTAATAAATATAAAAGTACGCATCAAGATTCATACATATTCCATCTGATGTCGATTCATATGTGCATGTTATGAAATTATTTATTTTCATTTCCACTTGCAATAAGCATGAGAACATGTTTCATGATTATACAATTTCGTTCCTTATCAATTCTCATTTAGTAACTCTGACTGACTTTTTTATTTGTCTCGAATGATTCTTGTCAAAGAAAGTATTGTACTTTTGGTGATAAAAATACAAACCCAACCACATCCTTTTCCTGATTTATTAGTAATTTTTTATAATCATGTGAGAAAATTACTGCTGAATTGTTTGTATTAAATATGCAAATAATACGTAAAAGATGATGATTTAAATAACTTCTGATTATGCTAACCTATGTAGCAATTAGTTCCGACATTACTATGTATGGGTGATTCTATAAAGAAACTGTATTGTTCTTTTATTCAATCTTGAAGTATATCGCTTATTAAGTCAATTGAAAAATTGAGTTGTAAGATCCCCACAAAATCTCTCCTCCCATCTTTCCCTTTAATGATGGAAGTCAAAAGTTCATGACCTTTTACAGATGCATCAAGCTATAGATTTTGATACTTAAAATGGTGTGAAATGCCATTAATCTTAAATATCATTAAATCGTTTTTTAAGATTAAATTCAAATCTTAAATTTAATCCCAAGAATAATTATCCAAGTTGTTCAGTAAATCACCAATTCAATTCAGCTCAGTTCTAAAATTTTAGAGCCACAAAATTTGAATTTAAAAATCCGTTAAACGTAACTTATTTAAATCTTAAAAAGCCGTTAAATTATCTATTTTAAAAATCGAATTCTAGAAAAATCATTGTCAAATTCAATAAAGCTCAATCATTTCGAATGGCAAGCAAAACGTTGTAAATCCATAAAACGCCATAAATCGACTCACTAAAGTCGTGAGCTATAAAATTAATTTACCTGAAGAATTTCTCAGTGCAATTAAACACGATCATAAACAAGATTATGTGACTCAATTGAAGAACAATTCCACAGTTCTTACAGTCTAATTTTATTCTTTTTTCTTTCATTTTATTTACTCCACTTCTTACTTTATGGTATTTAAATAATTCTGTGGCTATATATTCTCTAGCTAGCTAGCGCATATACGAACAAAATCCCGTATGTTGATATATATTTTCTGTAGTTGTAACACCATACATAATAACAATAAAAATACAATTTTTTGAACTCATGGAGAAAAAAATAAATAAAAGAGAAAGAAAAGAAAGAAAAAAAATACAGCGTGGGAAATTCTCAGATGTTTATTTTTTGTATGTTGTTGGCTTGATGAATGAATTAAAAAAAAATATCATAAAAAATATGAGCTGTGCTAGTTGAAGGAATCATCATCACATTAAATATACATGCATGTCTCTCTCGCTCATCTTTCGGAATACTTTAACTTTACTTTACATTTTTACCGAACTGTTTAATGCAAAATGATCTGTTGAGCATAGTTTTCATGACACTTTATTCGATTATATTGCTGGTTTACATCTATTGGAACTGAGAAATGCGGGTGAATTTAACGGATTTTTCAATTTCAAATTTCATGTTTTGTCTTTTGTGTCAAAAAATTTCATTCAATTTTTTTAAAAATGTTGTTGAATAGGTATTCAAAATTTTGAAAAACGTTAAAATATTTGATCTTTTAAATAACGTGTTTAATATTCAAATTTTTGAAAACGGTTAAATTTTTAAAAATCAAAAATTCAATGTTCAAACCAACTTTTCCAACTTGATTTAAAGCCAACATTACAACTTGATGAATAAATCATTTAATAGCATTTTTGACAAATTTCTAATCCCGAATTTAAAGTTCCCGTTCTGTGAACATATTTGATGAAATTAAATTAAATAAGGTAGGGAGAAAGAGAGCATAAAGGTTTATTAGTATTGGAATTGAAACGCATATGGATGCTGAGGGTTGTGAAATGAGGAAATAAGCGAGAAAACAATATATATATACATATATAAATCGAAAAAATAAGTGCAGACTGCACATATAATATCGGATGCGTTAGATCTATCGAATATAAAAACAAGTTTTTATTCAAACAGAGAACGATTAAGAACTCCTGTACTTATATGAGAATGCCCTTCATATAGTAGTCAGTTGCGAAAATTCCCATAATGTATTTTTACAAATAAACAACAAATGAAATGGTATCGCACCGAAAGGAATATATAGATACGTGTATAGAAGTGGTAAAGTAACAGTCAAATAAATATTACAGGCACAATTTAAAAGGCTGCTGTCAAGGGTGAATTTTATATTGCTATTGTTGAATCGTATGTGGAATATTATTGCGTGGTAAGGAAGGAGGGGGATATATTAATGTAGGTAAGGTGGAAAATAGTTTTTGAATAACCGTCTGTGGCAATTTATTATCGATTAGAACATGTATAAAAAAATATTTCACTGTGTATAATGTAACTTTTTGAAGTGGACTGAGCATGAATAATTAAAAATAAGTGCTGATTGATATACATTTAAATTACATAGTCCTCAATATCTAGCAATTTTCCTGCATCATTTGAATCGTAAATGTAATTAATGTTGACCAATTTTTGATTCTTAAATTCTTCATGATCTTTCTTGAATTCGCTTTTGTCTATAAAAATATATTGTTGTCCATTAATTTTAGACGATACACGACCAGCACGATACTTGAATAAAATTTTAGCACAACACATCAAGTCATTGGGATGATTCTCGTCTTCATAAAAGAATGCTGAAAATCCTCTAAAGAAATTTGGGTTCTTGATATTTTCATCATAAAGTTCATTCTCAAAGTCCTTTAAATCCTCATCTGCTCCATTAATTTCGTCCATTTGTAGCAAGAACTCTTTTAAATCTTCAGGTGACTTAAATGCTTCAGTATAAGAATCTCCATAGTGATCGAATCTATCTTTAAAACTTTCTTTCATGGATTCATTAATGTAATGAAAGTGACTAGGACGAAGATCAGGAAAATCATAAAGTCTAAAATCTTTTGAAAGCTGTTCAGTAACCCATTCAGCTTTAATGATGTTATAGTCTTTAATATAAATTTTAATCCTTTGAGTAATTTCTCCAGCAATGACTGCAAATGTCTTTGATTTACGTGGAAATTCTGTTAACGAAGCTCCGTGTAACCTCAATAATACTTTTAAATCATGTACGGATGGTTGTGATGAAGATGTAGTCAATACGCAAAACTCTTTCCCCTCAAGAACATTATCGATTGGTTCAATATCATCTTCTTGAGAATCGTGACAAAATATCTCCATTGCCGAAGGTGACGTTGCTAATTTACTTTTTTTTGTTGGAGATACTATATCATCTTTATGGGCATTTCTCTTGGTGATTTTCCTTACTCGTCTATCATTATTTCCGCTGTTATCACTCTTGAAAAATTCTTGGAACTCTTTTAATGACACTGAATCGTCCCAAAACTTATCATAACGAACTTCAGAAATACGAGGGAATCTAAATGTATATTTAAAGTAATGATCTGACGATGGAGCAAGCTCACTAGCCTTAATTTGTAAAACAATTGATTTATGCGGTGGAATAAACACATCAGGCCTTGTTTTTCCGAAATATACCTGACCTTTCTCAAACTCAACTTTATTTTCATTATCGTAATCTCTCATATATGGAACTAGTTTATCGTTCAATTTTTTTCGATTTTCCCTTGACAATCCATGATTAATTTCACCAATTGTGTAGACTTTGAATGATCCATCTTGTAACTTTTCAACAGCTCCGACAGAATATTTTAACAAATAATCTTTCTTGTGTGGATTCTGATATTTCCCACCGACTATAACACAGTCGAATTCTTTCACTAACTCCCCATCAAAATAATCAGCTTTAACTTTATACCATCCACTTTTATCTCTCTCTCCAGGCATGTACTTAGAAACTGAATTCTTTAAAATTATTCCTTCTTCTTCATTTTGCATAGCTGTATTAAATAATGACACTAAATGATCAACATCACGAATTTTTATCGGTTCCGTTTTAATCATTACACCGACTTGATCGTCAAAAATGGAACTAAGAATTTCACACCTTCTGTTGAATGGCTGGTCGATGTAACTTACACCATTCACATATAACACATCAAAAGCACAATAGCACGGTCGCAAATTGCTATTTGGATCATTAATTTTTTTAACATCCATTTCTGTTTCACCTTTTGTCACAAATCGTTGCTTACTACGGTTCCAAATTATCATCTCACCATCCAAAATTAGACTATGGACCACTGTCTTGTATTTAACTAATGGACTAAGAAGGATATTGAAGCATTCACTGAAATCATGACCATTTCTAGAATAATACTTGTAGACATCATTTTCCATATGCATTTGAAAGCGCTCACCATCGAGTTTGATCTCTTGATAGAATTCAGCAGTTCCAATCATATTGTTCATATCATTTGAGAATTTTTGGGATAGCATTGGTCTTATTGGAATGAATGGCTCAACCTTATCCTTTATTTCTTCCTCGGCTCGTCCACTATCAATTATTTTACAGACTTGAGACAAATGATGGAACTTTGTATATAGTTGCGGTGCCAATGGATGATAATTTAATAGCAACTTGCTAACAAGAACTTTTAATTTCATCTTTTTTAAAATAATCTTAACGATCCACTTAAAATCACTTGCGGATCCATTAAGGAACAAATATTCAAATTGATTTTGTTGACATTGTTGCTTCTGATTTTCACATAAATTATTTAATAAAGCATCAATTTGCTGTAAATTCAATGTTGAAGTTCTGCTGCTTCTAGTTTTTACAACCTCATATACTGTATCTGCTATTTCGTCTTCATTACAGTGCTCGACTTTCTTAGCATCACTGCTGCCTATAATGTTAAGGCTGTTGATCAGAATTTTACGCAAAGTTTTCTCTTGAATCCCATATGCTCTTTGATGCTCTTCCGTTGACAATATAATCCGAATCAATGGATAGAGACTATGATCATTACATGGATATTCTATCTTATATTGTTGTTGTAAATCCAGAACCCTTTTGAAGTACTTTTTCCTATTATTGTGAAATAAATTTATTGAAATTCTAAGAACTGATCAAAATATTATTGAAACTTACAGAATTGTATCCCTCTTTGCAGGACTTGTTGCTTCAATGCACTTATCCAGCATTACCGTGAGATCAAAAAACATTAATTTCTCTACAAACGACATAATGACACACAAAAATTCATTAATTTATCTTGTTTTTAAATATTTGTTTTGAACAAAGGAGTCTCCCCTTTCAAGAATTCTTTCACACTGAATCCGAGCCTCTCAGGGGATGCAACTATTAATGTTTTGAATTTATTTAAGATTTAACGGTTTTCTTATGCAGAGTTGTTGCTCTAGTGCAATATCGAACATTATAGCTCGTTCTAGTTATATTAAGCAATATATTATAAAATTTGGTTTTAAATAATTAAGTTAAAAAACACGATAAAGAATTATAAATGAATTATCACATAAAAGCAGATATTGCACAATGACATAAACAACAACTCTGGATGTCAGTGTTTGCATCAAAAAAGTAAATAATAGTTTAGCTCTTAGAAATTTAATATAATTAATATTAATAAAATGGACAAACTTGGTATAAATCTATTAAAACATCACGATAATATAGCCTTAATAGTGCAGAAGGAAGGAAAACAGAATATTATCTACAGAGACTTGTTAAAACAAGTTTTAAAGACATCATTATTCATTGAATCTGAATCGGATATACCAAAATGCTCTACAATAGGAATCCTCGGTGACAAAAGTTATGCATTAGTGGCACTTACTCTTGGAATAATAGAAACTGACAACACATTTTGCTATTTGACCAAAGACGATCTTGATGATTTAAGTATTGAGTATTTCTTCAGTTTGTCACCAATATCCTTGAGTACTATTGAATTAAGGAAAACATTAGTGCTGTGTGACTTGAATATTTATTTCTATAAAACAAAAAGTGCCAAGGAAGTTAAGCAATTCAATTATGCCGACAATGAAATGAATAAAGTATGCTATAGAATAACAACATCAGGAACAACAGGACGAAGAAAGATTATTCATGTTACATACAATTCCATCTATCCAAATATCAAAGGCTTACAAGAAATTTTCAAACTCGATCATTCTGATGTCGTTCTATCTGCATCGCCAATCACATTTGATGTATTTATCGTTGACCTATTTTTGGCGCTTCATTCCGGATCTTCACTACTAATCCTAGCTGATAATCATCGATTTGATACATCAATATATTCCAAAACATCAGATAAATCAGTAACATTTCTACAAATGACGCCTACAATATTTAGACAATATGGCCTTGATAACATCAAAAACAAAATACTACACTCGGAATCTAGTTTGAAGTAGTTACACATTGCATATTTATTAGCTATTGCATCATCATTTATTCATCAAATATCTATGTAGAGCTTGCTGTGCATTTAAATCATTTTCTCGAAAAATCTCAGGATTTATTTTAAATCCTACCGTTTAATCCATAAATTTAACTCCAATATTTTTGTATTTTGTAGATATCTCGTCCTCGGTGGTGAAGAGTTTCCGTCTCCAAAAGAAGTACTAACATGGCAAGATTTTGACAATGAAAGCAGCCGCAAGAGAATCTTTAATATCTATGGTGTGACAGAAATGAGCTGTTGGTCTCTCATACACGAAATTACCAAAAAGGATCTGGAGTTTGGAAAGATATGTTTAGGATCTCCAATTGACAGTGACACATTACCGGCTTATTATCCATATCCTAGTGGTTTAGAGGAACTTATTCTTACAACATCTTCAAGAGTCAATTATTTTGATGATAAGGAATGGGACAAAAAGCTAGGAACTAATGGCATTTTTGCCTACGTCACAAATGATCTCATTGAGAAAATTGATGGAAAGATTTATTGGCATGGACGATCGAATGACATGGTTAAGAGATTTGGTGAGCGAGTTGATTTGAAGAAAATTGAGGAAATTGCATCAGAAATCGTACATCCAGTTTCCTGCATAATGATAAGGAAGAGAATTGCTTTATTTTATCAATCAGAGCAAGACGATGTGTGTCAATTACTTTCCAATCATTTAAGGCTTAAATTAAGGAAAGTAGAATTTCCAGATGATATTAAAAGAATCGATTTTCTTCCTACGTGCGATCACGGTAAAGTCAGTAAAAAGAAATTAAAGGAACTATACAAGGATATACTAAAAGAGGACAATATTAAGCAAAATGCAGAAGATGTCTTTCTTGATGCCATAAATAAAATGTTTAATTTAAGTATCGAAAAGCCATCAGAATCTAATGGTGACGAACCAGATGGAAAGAGAATGAAATATAACATTGACTCATCATTCCAGCAAATTGGAGGCAGTTCCTTTGATGCATTACGCATAGTTATGAAAATTGAAGACAGGATGAGTTCAATGTCGAATGCTTTGCTGCCAAAACTTTTAGATAATCAAAATAGTATTAAAGATATTTTGACTTACCTTAAAGGATTGAATCTTAAGTCCAAAAATGGAGATGCTATTAATCTGGTTAATTTTATTGACAATTCCAAACATTCACTTGATCTCAAGTTTCAAAAGAAATTTGATTTACAAAAATGTATCGACTCATCGCCTGCCTTAATTAACATTAAAGGAAGAAGTTATATAGTCGTTGGTGGACATTCAGGGAACTTGATAACTATTGATGCTGACGATTTGTCAGTTATGTCAATAATTAATCTTGGGGATCGTATTGAATGTGAAGCTGTCCAATTTTGTGACTACGTACTTGTTGGATGCTATGATGGATTTATTTATTGTGTCGATGTTTTAAGTGCCGATAAAAATGACAGAATAAAATTCAAGTACAATTCTGGTGCCATGATCAAATCAAAACCTTTAATAATCAATGATTTTGTAATCTTTGGAAACTACAATTATGAGGAAAATCTTCGATGCCTCAAAGTCAATGAAAATGCTGATAATGTCGAATTAAAATGGAGCAAGGTACTTGGAATGTCTGGAATTATAGCAAATATCCTACAAATTGACAATGAATCGATTCTTGTCTGTACGTTAGATGGAATTATTGAACGATTGAGGATTAATGATGCAAGTAAGATATGGAACAAAAAGTATGAATATCCAATATTTTCGAGCCCACAGAAAATAAGCCACATGAAGGCTATAATATTCGCAGAAGTTATGAGGAAAGTTCACTGTATAGATTATGATGGAAATGCTTTATGGAAGTTTGAAACTGATGGGCATATTTTCTCATCATTTCTATTCAATCCCATAAATGACAATAATGTTCAAATCATGTTCGGATGTCATGACAATAAGATACGATGCATCGATTACGACAATCAAGGATTAAAAGTCTCCAAAAAATGGATGACTGATCTTCAATCTCAAATATACGGAACGCCAAAAATTATTAATTTTAATACAAAAAATTATATTGTCTCGTGCTCAACAAACGGCTATGTAAATTTATTAAATATTTTAAGTGGGAAAATGGAAAGCTCTTCCAAGTTACCAGGCGACATCTTTTCATCACCTTTAATCCATAACGATAAATTATTTATTGGATGTCGCGATAATTACGTTTATTGTCTTTCCTTGAAACCTAATTAAGAATTTTTAAGCTTTTAATATCCAGTGAATTCATAAAAATTATTTATTTTGACAGCTAAAGTTTAACTGATTTTTTTTTTCAAAATCAGTTTCAAAATATTTCATTCAAAATTCAAAAAAACAATTTGACTTAATTTTCAAAAAATTAAATCCGTTAAATTTCCGCTAATCTCAAAGTTACCCAGTTACAGTACCGTTGTATCATAATTTCAAAAAACAACTATTAGCTCAAAAGTGTTTTCATGCGACAATAAATATTTAAGCATAAAATCAACTTTAATTAAATATTTTTCAAATTTGCTTATCATTTTTAAAATAGCTTATTAAACGAGCTTTAAAACGATACACAACATGCTGGAAAAATATTAAGATTTATAAGAAATATGTTGGATAGAAATTTTTTCTTGAAACATGGAAACAGTTTTGAATGGTACTGTATCTTTAATAATTAGACAGCTATAAGTATTAAGTATACACAGTTAATTTAGACAGCTACATGTACTCAAACAGATTTTTTATTTCCATTAAAATAAAAGTTTTTTTAATCTCAAAACTTCTTTCGAAGTCCTAATTTTGAATTTTTGAATATTTCTATTGCTTTTTGCTTAGCTTGTTCCTGCTCAGTTTTATCCTTTTCTCGTTGAGGAATCACTTGCTTTGTTTCAGGGATTCTTGGTGCTTTTTTTGGTTCTAATTCTTCATCTAGTGCTGCTTTACTTGTACTTGGTTTAGGCTCATCATCTTTCACTTTTCGTTTGCGACCTTTTGGTACTGCTTTTTTTGGCGTTTGCTTTTTTGGTGACTGATCAGCTGCTCTCATTACATCAAATGCATTTTTCTGTGGAGTAAGATTTTTGTCAGAAGATGCTGGCTTGTCTGGTGTTGCAAGTTTCTTTTCAGGTGGCTCAAAATCATCATCCTCGCTCAATAACAGCACAGCATCTTGGATTTCTTTAATCTCTTTTTTCTCCTTTGCATTAATTTTCTTTTTGGGTGGTGCTTTACGTTTTCGAGGCTTCTTTCCTGGCTCGTCTTGTGGATCATTGTTATTATCAGTAACTTTATTGATTCGTTTTCGTGGTTTCTTTTCTGGCTCGTCAGGAACTTCTTCTTGCTGTCCAACGGTATTTTTCTCAAGTCTTTGAACTGCCTTTTCGACTCTTTTGCTCAATTTTTCATCAAATGCTCTCTTTTGTAGCTGAACTTTAAAATAATCTTCCATTTTTCTCTGTTTACGTTCCTTTAATCTCTTCATGACTGGATCTAATATTTCTTTTGTTTTCAATCGAGTCCATCCAAGCTTATATTTTGTAAATTCAAAGATTGATTCCTCGTCTGGAAGTCCCCAAGAAAAACTTTCCATACTTGTGTCTATTTTCGGTTCCAAATATGCTTTAGCAATATTCAAATTTGGGAATCCTGAAATGAGTTCTATATTCTTGAGTTGACTCTTTAACCCTTTATGCTTCATATCTTGTTTTCCATTATCATACCAATCACGAAATTTTCTTAAGCTTGACATCAATGATTGATAACTATCAGTTCCATTTTCTTCTTCAGGTGTTGGAGGAAATGCTGCGAGAATTTCCATAGCTGTTACAGCACCAACACCGTTAATACCTTTTTGAGGAATGAAAATATACATTTTTCAATTTCAAACGAATTTCAAATTTTAAATTAATAAATCAAGTTGTAAATAATTTTAAATATAAAAAAAACCGTTGAAAGTCAATTAAGTTCTTACCAACTGTATAATCACTTCCAACAAGCATAGCTAACTGAATCAATTTGTTTCGATTCAATTTAAATCTATTCTCAATATCCTGGATCTCAAATTGCTTGACGATTTTCTTTTGAAGGAAGAAATTTTTATAGACAGTTTTAGCACCAAAAAGCCACACATCAGAATCGTCAGTAATTATACCATCAGCGATTTCATGTGCATTTAGGAAAGCACATTGTGCTTCTGCTTCAGTTGGTGCATCGATGTAAGGAATTCCAAATAATCTAAAATAAAAAGAATTATGTCAATTTAAGGGAATCTTGACAATAAAATTCACAAACCGTTAACACTACACGACTTTTGGAAATATTAATCAATAACATAGATACTGATCATCAAATCAAGAGATGTGTAGAGTAAACGGTTCATTTCACAAAAAGACAAACACTTACTTTAACAACTCCTTGCAATCCCTGCTCATTGAATCTGTGATAGATGTACCCTGTCGATCTAGCTTGTTTCTTTCAAATGCATAATTCTTTTGTTGTTTATGAAGATCCTCTTCCATTTTTAAAAGCTGTTCATCTGTCAGTTCTTGTCTTAGTGCTTCGGCTGCAGAAGCAATGTCTTTTTCTTCTGTGAGTTGTGGCTGTTTTTTCTCAGGTGTATGTTCTTTTGGATATATAATCTCTTCGTTTATAATGTTATTTAAAATTGATTCGTTTGGTTCTTCAGAATCAATTTTAATAATGTCATTTGCTTCCTTAATTTTTGGACTTTCTGCTTCAATTTTAGGTTTAGCTGGTGTAATTTGTGTTGATTCCTGATCACTATTATCATCAATTTCTATGACATCTCCAAAGTTTTCGTCTTGAATATCATAAAACTTTTCGATTTCACTTTTTTCTGGAACAATTTTTGCATCTGTCTTCTTTATTTTTACATCACTGGATTCTTCGTTTGCTAAAGAACTCCAAAACTTGTCATTTTCTGAGACAATACCATTTGATTCCTCGCTATCGACAATTTCAACTGGAACTAATTTGCTTTCAGTATTTTCAATAATTTTTTCTACTTCAGACAAAAATTCTGACTTAGTGTCCTTAATATCCTTGTCCAATTCCTGAATATCCTCGATTGGAACTTCATATTCGATTGTATCATCATCACTAATGGACGCAATTTCCACATCTATATACTCTTTTTCTTTAGGTACGATTTCATCTAATTGACTCTCAAAAATATCTGCAAATATGTCTTGTTCCTGACTATAATTTGCGGAATCGAAAGTTATGAGTATTTCCTTATTATCTTTCTGTAAAACTTTAGGTGCTGTTTCTAATTTATTTGAAACTTCTTCAAAAGAAACAGACGATGATTCCTTTATATCACTAGATTCTGATTTTTCTGGAGTTCCGTAAAGTACATAACGATCAGTATGTGGAAATTTCTGTGTTAATGAATCATTCTGTGTATTTGATTCTTCTTCGACTTGCGTAGCATTAATCATGTCATTTATATCTAAATCATTCATTTCACCATATTCCTTCATAAATCCTTTAACTAAGCCATGTGACTGGATTGATCCAACAAACTTTTTACGTTGCTGAGCATTTAATTTAATTGGTTCGTTGCTGTCTTCCTTTTGTTCCAAAATATTACTTTCATCAATATATCCAAGTGACATTTGAATTGCTTTTTGTAATTCTATATCATTTGAATCGTCATCGTCTGATTTATACTCAATTTTTTTAGGCTGTCTACCAAAATATTTCGATGTGCTAGGCTGTGGTTCACTTTTAACAGTTTCTCTTTCTTTTGCCTCACTTATTGCTTTTGTAATATCACGAACAAGTATGAATCTAGTGCCTTCATCACCAGCAATTCGTTGTGCATGTTTGGAACTAACATCCAGTATTCCATCATCAGCTAATAATTTTTCTAATTCACTTAATGAGAAAACTTTACCACCCATTTCCTTTTCTGCTTCTTCTAAACTAACTTGAACTTGCCGACGTCTAAGTAAACCAGACATCTGATATGTGGAAAAGTTGTCAGATTCAACAGGTAGCTCCCTCAATTTACCCCATGAATTCTGTTTGCGTGTCTCTTTTATATCGACTAGAATGTCATGTCGAACATCAGGAGCTAAACTCTTAAAATATGAGCTATTTAAATCAATTTTATTGATATTGCCACTGTATGACTTTTTGGAACTGGTAAAATCGTCCTCTTCCTCTGATTTTATTTTAAACTTTTCACTTTTGAAAGGAGAATTTTCTGGTAACTTAAATATGTCATCCTTCTCTTCTGTTTTGACTGGTTTTTTCTTATTTGGTGATATTGTCAATGCATTTGTGTCTAATCCTAGTGCTTCCTTAATGACCTTTTCTTTAGCTAATGACTGCAATAAAAGTTCTTCTATTTTCTCAGCCTCAGTTTTCAACTTTGATTTCGCTTGTGCTCTTTTGCTCTATAAATAATGCCATTTAAGTAAATTATATACTGTATTGAATGATCAAGTCACTTACAAGTGTCTGCCACTTAAGATTACAGGTCTGTCCATCGAAAACGAAAATTGGTTTAATTCTGAAGTACAGTAATTTGCAAATTCTATTGAATAATCCAAGCAAATGTGAGTTGTGGATCTGACTGCCTTTCCCATCTGTATAGCCTTTAACGATCTGATGCAACCAAATTGATATATCTAATGCATGCACATTTTTATCATTATTTCTCGGAATTTCACAACATTGCATTTAAATCTTTCGTCTTACCGATTACAATGACTTTATCCTCAAGAGTTTCAAATGCTACCGGCTTTCCCGAGCTCTCAATCAACTTCCAGAGTCCTGTAACTCCCATTTATATCCTTAATTTAATTAATTTAACTTTAATTCTTAAAAATTGTTTTCTTTTCCTAAGCTCCATAAACAAAACCATTAGAGTTCTACACTAGTAACTGCTGTGCACATGGACTAGCCATAAAAACATGGAAGTTTCACGAAAATGTCTTGCATTCAATATCCATAAAGTCATGTCTAAATTCATATAATTTTATGATCCAGTTGAATAATTTTGATGAAAATCTGTTTTTTGAAATTAGAATTTTGAAAGGATATTTCAAATTTAAATTCACTGACTAATCCAGTTTCGATGATGAACCTATCAAAACAGAAGCAGAAAAAAATGAGATGTTAAAAGAAGTTTCAGAGAAACTAAATCTTTACTTTGTTTTTTCGTTATAAGCTAGTAGCTTAGAAGAATAAAAAAGTTATTTTTTTGGCTCACTAGTAGCTTAGTAACGAGTAGTAGCTTATAACGAAAAAACAGGGTATTTGTTTTATGATACTAAGTCACCTAATGATAATGTCACATCCATGAGAAAATCCACTCAAACATAAATTTCAAAAATCTGAAATGCGTTGGTATTGTTACAGCATAATTGAGTCAATTTACAAGTGCCATGATAGATTTATTGTAAACTGAATACCGTTTGTATTGAATTCCAATTTGCAACGGTTATAAATGAATTCAAATTGTTTGTCTTAATCCATGATTCAATTATTGTTTGTTTACCTATACAGGAACCTGTATAAAACATTACAGCTAAGAAAAACAAAAGCAACCAAGAAAGAACAGAATTTCGGCAAGTGCAGAAGAAATAAAAACATAAAGAGCAAAAAATTCACAAATTATAAAATCTTAAATTAATTATCTATTTACAATGATTTAGTGATCATTTACAGTGTTTAAAATAACTATGGAACTTTGGATCTGATAAGTAAGTCGAGGAAAGTGGAATTTATATTAAAGAATGCGTGAAAATGGGAAATTTGTGATTATTCTGTGAAAATTTCATTTCTTTATCCATTAATAATGGCAAAAAATATCACAGAAGAGAAAGAATTTCACTAGCGCGTCATCAAACAAAGAAAATAGCGCATGAAAATTTAATTTTAACATTTCATTTATCTTTTCAGATTTTCATTAACTTTTTTCATTTAATTTTATCATTATTATTATTATTATTTTTGCAACAAAATTTTAAATCGAGTAATTAAGTAAGATACAGAGAGAGAACTAGTGGAAATGGAAACAAATGACAAAGAATCTGAAAATGAGATACTTGAGACACCACCAAAAACAATATTCACAACAATTAAGCGAGAAGATACAGAGGATGATGATTACGAGTCTATTCACCTGAATTTTCCAGCTATTTCGCCCGTTTCAAACATTTCTACATCGTCAGGCTTTATATCTTGTGGAAGTTCTTCGAGTTCAAAACCTACTACACCCACGAATTTATTGACTGACAAACATTGCGAAGATTATGCTGAATGTAGTATCCAAAATTCCACCCATGACAATATAAATAATAATAAACCTAGTGCTATCAATAATGTTGAGATAATACGTGATAATGGGCAATTAGCAATAAATATTAATAATCAGAGACATAATTCCGACACTGAGAGTGACGATAAAAGTAGCAAATTGCTGTATTCGCCAGTTCCATCCTGCTCTAAAGGTGTTAAAAGTCGATCAAAATATCGAAATAATTCTTCCTGCTCTTCATCGTCATCAGATAATCATTCGCAGCCGTCAAGATATCATCGACAAAGTAAGAAACATATATCGTTAGAGGACGAGATTGTGATATATGAATCAGATTCGTCATTAATTGAGTCTCGTCGTCGCATTTCAAGCAACAGTCATTATTCAAACAACTGCAATCGTATAAATTTCCAAATTCAGGGTCGTTCATCAGCTAATGCAGCAATTATAAGTAGACATAAGAGTGAAGAAAATCCACCAACGCAGCCTTCGAATCAAATTGTATCAATATTAAAACGAAAGGATAGTTCTGGTAAAGAAAGTCCTTGTTTAGTCACATTCTCGCCAAATGTAAAGGATAATAATTTTGAATCAAATCGTGCGTCGACCTCATCAAACCGTCAAGGAATCTTGAAGAAAAGAAGCTCATTGGATGAGTCATCACGTCGCTTTAGAAGTCATTCACCGTCGAGTGAAAAGGGATGTTTAGTTAAAGACGATCGACGTAGAAATAGTTGTGAGGAAATTCATCATCAAGGAATATTAAAACAAAAAAGTTATGAGAGTAGTACAGGATATAGCAGTTCAGGAACTCGTTCATCCGGACTTACAACTCCAAATTCAGGTGTTCAGGGAATTTTAAAAAAGCCAAGCTTAACACCATCAGATCATTCTAGTGATCATTCAACAACAAAACATGTCTCAATTTCTGAGGCTGTTATTCTTGCTGCAGCTGAATTATGTAAGGATATGATTATTGATGATACTCACGAGCCATATATAAAGCCAATCTTAAAATTGGACAATGAACATCATTATGGACATGAGAGGAAGCCCAAGCCAATTTTAAAGAAAAATCACTCATCAGAGAATGAAGAGATTCGATCGATTCTAAAGTCCCGGAAGAGTAGTCGCGAGGAACCAGACGATTTATAGGTAAAGCATTTTTACGACGATTAATTTTTTTTATTATTTTATTTTGTTATCAAACAGTGTTTCGTACTTATTTTGATCGATTATTATTTTATTATTATTGAAAAATGTATATTCGATATGTACATCAAAAATGAGTTAATTGTATTTCTCAGTACATCATTTTCTTCTTTTTTCTAAGAAAGAAGGCAGGAGAATTGTTTTTTGATAAAATATGTTCTTTTTATTACCGTTGTCGTGTATATTTGATAGATTATGCAGGGGTTTAATTAATAATTTTATTCACGTCCATTTTAACGATATAGTTAGCACAAAAAAATATAGCAACAAGATGTCACTAGATTCTTATTTTCTATCATAAACTGCCATATTATTGCGATTACAGCATGTGAAATGAAAAATATTGTCTACTTATTGAATAATAATAATAATATTAATTAATGAATGAATAATCGTTAAACGGTATTGATATTTAGAAAGAACAAAGCAAGAAAACTGTTCTTATCTTTCGCGAAATAAATACAATAAAGAGAAAAGTTTTAAATTGAGAATATTTATACAGAAAAAAGAAGAAGAAAATAATTTGTGATGCGATAAAAAGAAACTTTTTTGGAAAAAAGGCTTTATGGCCAATAAACAAAGACACTTTTATCTGATAAGGAACAAAAAACTAAAACTTAATGAGAATCTTTGAAACACACGGTTTTGTCGACATTTTTCTATCTCGATGTATCGTGCACAAGTTCATGTGATTGTCGCATTGCGTTAAACTGATCATTTATTGATTTAAAGACTGAAAAAATGCAGTTATTGCAAAGTTATTGTGTCATTCGACAATTTTTAACTCAAACAGTGTTGCATCCTCGCAAGTTGTCTGGCTCAGACAAATTCTGACACAGACCTTTCTTTGTATAGATCAATTCTACATGTTAAAAATATATATGTATAAATTACACTTTATATGTCAAAAAATCAAAAAATCAATTCTTTATAGGTTGAACCAATAACAATTAATTATCTTTCAATGCATGAGGTATTAATATTATTCAATAATCAATCAGAATCAGTCTCCATATATTTTTTTCGTTTGAATTTTCAAACTGGATGTTTAAATTCTATATATCAAGTAATTTTTTTAACATTTGTGTAGAATTATATACATAAAGAAATTGTCTTTATGAAGACAAAATATATGAATTGAATATTATAATGAATATATGAATTCTAGGAAAAAATCTACTAGGGTTTTTAATCCCGGGATTAAAATGTACTGAAACCCGGGTTTGATCCCGGGATTACATACGCTTCAATACCGGGATTGAAAACCCTAGAATCTACATTCTTCCTCTAGTGTAGACATCTACATTTGCAACATACATACATACATACATCGCTGGCTTTACAGATCAATTGTGATCCATAGCCTCCCTTAGTTTGCGTTTGACAACATTTGCAACACTGAATCAAATAAACTTTGTTTTAAAATTTTGAATTTTTTGAAAATTGATTATTACATTTAAATTTTTGAAAACCGCTAAAATTTAAAGTTGTGAAAACCGTAAAAATTCAAAATATTTTAAAAATTTATATTCAACAAAGAAATTTTTTCGTGCAAATAATTTTATATTTTTTAAACGTTGCTCTCAAAATCGAGTGTCATTCGCATGAACTTTTGTGGATATATTGACATAACAAAAGGAGATGATTAATAGTCGTTCAATATAATCAGTCACAGTGATCAAATTTTAAAAATTTGCGAAAATGAAGCAATTTTTGAAAAAGTTTCACCATAAGTCTTCGGAGATGTCTCATTTGAAAGCTGACATCAATACGAGATAGCTCAATAAGTTTCATATTTTTTTGAGTTTCTTTATTCAAAGTCAATTTGCACAAAAACTACTCAACCAAATGAAAAATTGATTTCATTGCCCTAAAAGCATCCTGTTTAGTAAAAATTTTTCAAATACTATGATATACTAAAATAAAGGGACTTTCATATGCTTTTAGGGATTAAAACCAATTTTCATTTGGTTGAGTAGTTTTCGTGCAATTTGAGTATGAATAAAGGAACTCAAAAAACTGAAAATTCGCCTTTACTCAACTTTAAGGACCTGCTTTCGGCACTAGGTGAGCGAAAATACTTGAAACTTTAGGAATAATATCGTATTGATGTTAACTTTCAAATGAGACATCTCTGAAGACTTATAGTAAAACTTTTTAAAATAAGACCACTATGGCAGTAGCTCCATTTGAATAATTAAACATAATTGTATAAACACGTTTTTAAATAATATTAATTTTTTGGTGTCCAAATATAGCGGAAAACTTAAATTATATCTAGGATGAAATTTGGAGAAAAAAAAAAATAGGACAATTGATTCACGATAAAAATTCATAAATCACGAAAAGCAGAAAATTTATTTTATAATTGCGTAAAAATTCTAAAATTAATCAACGAAAAAAAAGAAGCAAACAGAATCGGAAAGTTATTTACGCAAACTTATTTTACAAAAGAAAAGAATTTAATAGCGGAAAATTTAACATAAATACAAATCGACACATGACATTATCAAGATTTAAAAGTATATTTAAACCAATGTGTAATTTATAGTCACAAAGATCTTTTTAGAAACGCTCACACTAAAGAAAATTATCACAAGGAAAAATTTTACACACCACGAAATTGCTTTTTGGTGCTTGCATCTTAAACATTTATAATTCAAATAAATGGAAAAAAAAATATTTAAAAAAACTTATATTATATCGTAAGCAAAAATCTACATAGATTTTAAAAAAAAGTTGTGTTGATAACTTCGAAAAAAAGTGAATCATCTCCCTTTAGAAAGTAACTTGTAATGCGATGCATTTGAATATTCAAAAAAGTGAATGCTTAGAAAATAGATAAAAAGTGAAAAAAGACGTTAAAATACAACAAACCGTGATAAATTAATGTTTGTCTCGCAAAAAAAAAAACTTTTTTATATACATACATAAAATTAATAATCATGCTTTTTTCGTCATGTTTGAGAGATTTTTTTTTGTGCATGATCTTCTTAAATTTATGATTTTGGATTTTATATCCTCTTTCTTGCGTCCATTATATTTATAATTTTTTTTGACACTCAATCATCCTTGTAAACATTTTCATGTAATTCTTTTGGATGAAAAGAAAAGTGGTAAACTTAAGTTTACTTTAGCACTAGGACTCTAATGTATAGACACATTTTGTTATCTGTACCTAAAGCCTTAAGCAAATCATTGAATTTAAATTCACTATGAAAAAAAAAAAAATCTGTTCTAAATTACGCCTGGACATAATATTTTCACCTGATTTATGCTACTTGGAATCATAAAAGATGTTGCACAGCACATTTATAACTCAAAACCAGGGTTGTCATATAGGTACCTTTTAAAAGGTGCCTCAACGGAGCATGGTAGCTTTTGCCTTTGTCTAGTCAACACCTAGGTATAGGCAAGCCTAGCTAAAGGCAAAAAGTGAGTCTAGTCAAAGGTACTGCCTAGACACAGGCACTACCTAGAAATAGGTGTGCCTAGCCAAAGGCAAAAAAGTGTGCCTAGTCAAAGGTAATAACTAGTTAAAGGCACTTCCTTTGTAAGATTAAATCTTCTATAGAAATTGCCTTTTACCTTTAGTCTTACTCGTTGAGTTTTTGAACAATAATGCAAAATTTCTTTTGTTTGAACCATTGAAAAACTACAGACCCCCTCCAAATGACTGAAACGCCGAATTTTGATTTATCCAAGGCGACAAAATTTTTGATAACGACAAATTAAATTTTTTAAATTTTCGACGTAGCAAATTATTGGTTTAAAAGAAGATATGATTCACTATTATGCTCAAATAAATTCAAATTAAGGAAAAAAGGTGTTTTAAATTTAAAAAAAAAAACTCAACGAGTAAGACTAAAGGTAAAAGATAATTTCTATAGTAGATTTAATCTTACAAAGGCAGTGCCTTTGGCTAGGTATTGCCTTTGGCTAGGTATTGCCTTTGACTAGGCACACTTTTTTGCCTTTGACTAGGCACACCTATCTCTAGGTAATGCATTTGGCTAGGTATTGCCTTTGACTAGGCATGTCTAGGCAAGGGCAAAAATTTTTCCCTATACAAAGGTAATGCCTGAGATAGATTTTTGCCTTTGATAGGAATTCGATAGGTGACAACTCTGCTCAAAACATAGCTTTTTCATGCAGCTTTATGATAGTAATAATAGTTTTAGGTAATCATGACTGCTATCATAGATAAAAAACATCGATTGCTTTGCAAGAATTACATAAAAATGTTCACAAGGATTATAAATTGTTAAAGTGTTTAATGGTTTTTATTTTTACAAATCGAATTTTTAAAAAACAATTTTTTTATCAAAACAACAAAGGATAATGGAAGTCATAATATAGCATTACAAAAATTGATTGAAAATCCTTAGAAATTGCTTTTGAATGTTAATATATTAAACATTCATTTATTTATCTTTAAAACCTTAATTTCTATAACTCAATGTAATGTTTTCCTTTTTGGTACTGTTGATGGAATGACCTTTATACCTAAATATTAACGAAAATATTTTTTCTCTTTCTGAAAAAAGTCTTATTAACAGCATAAGTAAAAAAAATATATAGAGAAATAAATGTTTTTGTGAAATCGAATAAAAAAAAGTCGAGTATATTTTGTGTCTGATTTTTTCCTAGTTCATCTCAGATTTCTTCAAATATGTAGCACAAACACACGCTGAAGGATAATAAAAAGGTTCCTCGAGTACTTTATTAGAATCGTCATATGCTTTTAGAAAAATAGTCAAATGTTTTTGTACACATATCACTAATTTGTTGGCTGGAACTACTTCAGAAGTGCAAGGCGACTTTGGATTACTAAAATTAAGAACATTTAAAACTTTTAATTTTTTTTTTTTTGCTTTCTTGCTAGCAAACAGTGAGAGTGAATCTGTCGTTAAGGAACCTAATAATTGCCAAGTACTTTTAAAACCCCCCTCATACCTTAATTTTTGTTAGCTATGCTCTTGGCACTGAGCTATTGGGGGCTAGACGACTATTACTAAATCGCAGATACGTTATTCCATTTAGAGTTCAATCCCATGCTTAACAAGGATTCATACAATAAATTAAATCTGAAATTACTACTTACACGCATTCTTCAATTGATATTGATTGAACAACAGCAATTTTTCTCAGCTTATTTTCAATATTGTTAAGTGCCTTTGGTGCAATTGTCTTTTTTTGTGAATGACAACTTTCTTCCACAAAGATAAATCCTTCGGGATCGAGTCTATTATTTACACTTACGTTGCCTACACTAAAAAAATTATGAAAATGAGATTAAAGTATTTTTGAAAGTTCCTTACTAAAATGCTTTACCTGATTGGAATGAAATCTTCCAAGTTAGGTTCGTCACATTCGAATGGGACAAATTTAGTTTCTTCATATTTTTTTGGCTGAGGCTTGAATCTGTTTGGATCGTTTGGCCAAACTATGCCTTCATTTGGAGTAATCAAATCAGAATCTTGGTACACAAAATTACACTTAATGGCGTCTGCCTACAAATATAAAGCTTTAATTTCTGTTTTTTCGGCTGACTGCAAAAAAAAAGATTTTATAATACATACAACTGCTATCACCGCAATCAGTAATATTATTTCAATAATTTTAGACATCTTTCCTTCGTGGATTTATGAAATTAATAATCACAACAACGACGTATTTATTTAATATTTTACTTCACAGCGACTCAATTTAACTTCTATTCCATTTGAAATCTAGTCGACGAATACTGGAAGTAAAAGAGAAGCACATCAAGCAGTGATAAGAACTCATTTTTTCATATTTCTTTACTAAGCAAGTCAGTAAGTACAGTAAAATATAGATTTAAATACATGTAAACAATATTAACTTTATGACATTTGCATTTTTTATTTGAGAATTTTGAGATTATTTCTCATCAAAAAGTTCCTTATTCTCTTGAAAAAGTCTTTTGATCACGATTGACACTGTTCCACTGAGTGATAATTTCAATGAAACAAGTCACAAGAGGAATCTGAGAGAGGGATTTGAGAAAAATAAATAAACAAAAAATTTGTATTTTTTTAAGTCACAAATCGGACTGATTGATAGCTCTCGTACACGTGACATTATAAATAGAGACTTCATAGACATTATGAGCTAATAATTTATTGATATGAAAGAAAATCAGTGTTGCTAACCTTATCGCTTTGAAACAAAGTTGAGATTGACCCAAAAAGCTGTCTGATTTTGACTTTAATAGCTTTTGGAATCAATCTTAGCATATCCTGCTCCTAATATCGAGATCGGGTTCTACGGATCATCTTGGTATCGGAAATTTTTGAATTAGGTTCCTGAAGTCATTATATTTAATTCAAATAAGGGGCCGTTCACTTATTACGTTACGCAAAAAACGACTTTTTTCACCCCCTCCTCCCCTTGTTACAATATGTTACAACCCCCCCCCCCCCCTCCCCTGAACGTTCATAATTTATTTAATTTTGATAATTTTTTATTCTCAAAAGACGGTTAAATTTCTTTTGTATTTTTTTTCTTAAACATCAAAATACTGTACAGCTAAATAGGTCATGTTTTGATTGATACTATTAGTATTCTCATGAATTATTGGATTGAGTTATGAATGACAGATTTAGAGAGATTTATTTTTAAACTTATGATTGATTTAATTTTGAAAATTTCCACAAATTATGATTATATTTTAAAGTTTTGTAAACCAGTTTTCTATTGATTTGTTACAAAAACTATGTATTGCTTAGCTATCAAAAGAGATCTGGACATTTGTAAATCATTAAAAAGGTGGAAAATTTAAAAAAATGTTTTTGGTGTGAATTTGTAAACAAATTTTTTTCGTGAACTTCCCCCTAAAGCTTTGAACTTATAAAAGAGCTCTTTAGACCGGATTTCAAACAAAAAAAATTGTGTTAATCAAGCATAAAAACAGTTATCAACTCTGGCTTGAATTGATAACAAACAAAATTTTTGTGCATACTTTTCAGTCGTATTGGTCAGTCAGAAGAGAGCACTAATGGATACAAATCATCATTTATCTCTCATTGTAAACATCTTTGGCTGTTTGAATTTAAAACGTGTGCCAATAGAATCTTTATCTTTTAACGTGTTCGAAAGGGTTTTAAGTCACGTTTTTGAATAAAACAGTAATAATAATTTAATTAAGTATAGAAACATTAATGACTTAATTTCCAATGATGCAAAAAATCCATTGGAATTCCCTTAATTCGTTAGCAATAATAATTATTTAAAGTCGCGTCGTGACACTTGCCTTATTTATAATTTATAAGAAACTAGCTCTTCACTATTCAAAGGAGAATTACAGACTAGTAGTCTATTCTGGGCAAAGATTATTATAAACTGAACATCTAGTTGAATGTTCCATAAATGATATATCAGTGTTGTTGCTCAAGTTGCTGACTAGGTCAAAGTTATTGATTAGTTATAAATCAGGTAGTTAAAAAAAAGGAAACTAAGATGAGGATTTGAATCAACCTCATTTAGGTCTAAGGTCAAATTGTGCCTTATCAGATCTTAGCCTATATTTTATGGACGTCATAACTGAACGAATCCTTCGTATTTTTCTGATTCCCAACCTAGACAATTTAAACTGATCATGAAATAAAAACATCAATATTCAATCAGCTTTAATGCACATTGTACTAGGCTATTGTGACACATTTTTCTCTTGTTACAAGCAAGAAGCCATAAAACAACACTGAAAAAAATTAATACGGGTTTGAAAGTGTTTTGATGAGCATAACTGAATCTTCAAGATTGCGATAATTTGCCTCAGCTGTTGTCAGACGTCAAAAATAGAAGGAACTAAGGAAACTTTTATAAAAATAGCTTGAACTTTAATTAGGAAATTTCCCAAACTCATAAATCATTGAAATTTCAAGAAGCAGAAAATGGAAGGCTAAGAGTCGGACACAAAAGATAATAGAGTCAATAATCTAATAATTCATTTTTAAAATTTAAGTTTACATCATTTTTCTGCTTCATAATGAGTTATTGAAGAGTTAACGCGACTGAAGATGGTGTAAAGTAATTAACAAGACTGAGTAAATATTTTCATATAATATTCTATGGAAAAGTAAACAACACAGCGATAAGTTTATACATCTTGACATTTTATTAAAGATTATTTTACATTAATTATTAATTCCTAAACAAAGAAGCACTTTTTTGTCGGTTTCGGCTTTTTCGTTTTCTTTTTCACAGTCACAAGTTCACAGACACAATGAGATGGATAGTAGAAGAAGTCATCGACAACTGCATTTGTGTCGCTAAGAGCTTTCAACGTTATTTTCACAAACTTCTGTCGGCAAATGTATTTTGTATCTCTTTGTGATGGAACAACTCCATGATTGCATGGCTCTTTGGTATTCCTATCAAATAAACATCTGTCTGTTATTGCTTGTTGCTAATAAAAGCCGATCAACGAGTTTAGAATAATTTACATATGATATGTTTAAAGGTTAATAACACTAGATCTTTTAATTTACATAATCGATTCACGTCATCAGACAAAATCGGTTTGAAATTGTTGGTGCTTTTTTTAATGGCAACAACAATTTAAAGGTGGGTCAAAAAAATGCAAAAATATTTGATTTAACTTCAAATCTAGGGGTGGGGTGAGGACCATCTTAAAAAAATAAGTTTAACGCACATTATTAAGAATAAATCCTTTATTGAAGTCTGGGATAAAATAAGACAACAACAATATTAATGGATAAGCAAATGCGATGTATAGATACAGCCAATAAAAATTCGATTTAGGTGTTTATGCATAAATTAAAAGCAATTAAACGAATGTTCAACTCGGGATTAGACATTCAAACCTATGGTACGCCAACGAGTCCTTATTTTCGATATTGAATTTTTTTGGGACCTTATTTTCGAGCATAAGTTCAAATTTTTTTCACACGTTAAATTATTAATGTCTAATATCTCTAATTAATAGTTTAAATATTTGTTTTTCATCATCAAAATGTTAAACGAATCCACTCAAATGTAATGAATCATTACTGATTTACTAAACAATTAGTGCAAGTGAATTAATAACATTTTTATTTCCAATGTAAACAACAAAAAAAATTTATAATATTTTTGAAAAAAAAGCATTTTAAACTAATGTTTGCTGCATTTATCACCGATTAGACGATTAAACTAGTGTTAAAAGACATAGTAGAATGATTTAATTCTGTAATCATAAGTAAATTAAGTCAAAAATTGCGAAAAATTGAAATTTTCATAAAAAAAAGTTTTTCGAAATTGCGAAATTTTGTTCGAAAAACATTCGAAACGAGTTTGAATTTATTTCGAATCAACGTTGACAACGTCTCTTGGCACATCATAGATTCAAACAAGTTGTATATCCTCTCAAACTGCTAATTTTTACATAAAACAAGCGGATGATTATTTAATGTCTGCTTTAAACAAACTGTACTTCAAATGTGGACCAGATATTTCTAGTTTATGCTATTTTCCAGAGTTGATGCTCAAGTGTTTGATTTTGAATTAATGTCTGATCTAATCTGAGGTTTTGGTACAATATATTATATATTAGATAAATCGCAGTGCTTTTAGCTCAAAATTTGGGCCCTTCCCAAAATTTAATCTGAGACTGGAAAATCTATTAAAAATTCTTTTTCAAAGGAAGGGATGAGCTTATATTATATTACATTTAAATATTGTAGTTTTTTCCAAGATTAGTTTTTTATAGTCCAAACCAACGAGCATGTTAGATATTATGTTACTCGATTTATAGCTTGCATATTATCCACGCCATTAAAAATAAGACTGTTTACCAATCGATCTAATAATCTGATTTTCTATCACCATATTCATTCAAGCCATGGCCTTATTTACTCAATTAAAAATAAGAACAAACCTTGTATTTTAAAATAATCAGTAAACATGTAAATGACTAACCAGGAAGTTTACTTATAGCAAAAAATCCAAAAATGGAATCAGATAATATTCCAAGAAATTTCTCGATAGTTCTTCGAAAATCTTAAAAGTTTAGGATATTTCCCATACTTTCTCTATTAAACTTAAAACTGATCAATTAAAACATGATTCTCTGGAAATTACTGATTATATGGGCAAATCCACAATGATTCAGATTCGGAAAAAATGTTCAAAAATTCCTTGTGCACAATATTTTTCCGACACATTAGAAAATTGAAAGTTTTTGTTAATTTCTCTTGATTTGAATCTTTTAGCATCTTCTAGATAATGTTTTCGTTCATTGCTCAAAAAATCAGTCCTTAATATAAAGGATAAACATGATTTTTTACCAAAACTTTGTAAAAGTTTATCAAAAAATATTGTGCATGATCAAATTTTGTATGAAAATTGATGTAAACTTTGATCGCAAATATCTCGAAAACGGCATCAAACGGCATGTCCCCAGTTGTATCAGAGATAGATTTAAGCTTAATTAATTGATTTGTATAGGTTTCAGAGAGGTCTTTGGAAGACTTTTAAACTTATGAATAGTTTAAGTTGTGAAAAAATACTCAGATTTCAATTCATTTTTAAGGCTTAATAAGCAGATTTCTATTGAGTTTGTTGTTTTAATATGTAAAGCTAAGCTTAAATTAGCTAGCAACTTCTTCCAAGGCATCCAAATAACAACTTAAAGTAGAAAAAATCATATTTTTTTTTTCATACACAAATTGTAAACAAATTTTGAGTGAGATTAAATTAATGATTTCTGGAGTTAGACATCAAATTGGGACGAGATATTTTCATAGGATATGCCTCAAGTTAAGATCTTTAATCTGGCATTTAAAAGACAAAGTTTAATTAACATGAAATTTTTGAATTTTTGAACATTTTTTCCGATTCTGAATCATTGTGAAATCCACGAAGCTGAGGAATTACAAAAAATCGCATTGTAATTATTCCTCTACTTGCTTAAATTTTTTTTGAAGAATAGAAAACCGTTATTATTTGTTTATCTTTTTATTGAAAATAATCTTAAAAATTAATTTAAAGCACAGTTAATATTATTTAAAAGCCATTAAAATGCATCGGAAACATCTATTTAATTAAAATTTAATTAATTATCGAAAATTGAATAAGATTTGAGCTCGAAAATGTCAACAAATTTTAACGGAAATTTGTAATTCAAATATTTTAACGGTTATGAAAAATTTGAACTAGTATATTCTTGTGGCAAAGCGTTTTGTGTGACTCAGGAAGAAAATTTTCAAGAAATTAATTAATTTATCAGCAAATTTCCATTAAGCATCTACATTTTGCTTAATTATATGATGCTCCAACATGAAAGGAACAGATCTTGTTGATCAATGTCGCTTAAAAACTTATATTTTTTGAGATAATTGAATTTTTCGATGTTTTCCGCTAAAATGTGACTCAGGAAGATTTACAAAAAGTAAAATTTCTCTTTAATTAACGATCATAGAGAAGCAAATTTTTTTTATGGTCTTCTATTCACATTATTGCATTTATTAAAACATTCAATCTTTTTGAATAATGTGACATAAGAGAGAAATAATTACTTTAAATTGAAAAATTTTGTAAAAAAAAATTTTTTGTTTCGTGGATTTGCCCATATGTTATACGAATTGAAAAGTTTATTATTTCTTCTTTAAAAACAGAGAATTTTAAAAAAGAGATTAGAAATTTCCTAGATTTAGTGACATCACATAAAATCATGGATTTTTGTACATACTGATTGTGTTGAAAAGTAACTCGTGCGAATTTGTAATAAATAATAAGTTTCCTACATGAATCACAAATCAATGACTGATGCGAGTTATGGGAATTAATCAGAATTGACAATACTTACAAACATTCCTCAATATGAATGCTCTGGACAAAACTTTCAGTATTAACGACTTTAATTAGTTTATTATAAATATTATTGAGTGCTTTTGGTTGGATTGTTCTACGTCTGACTTCACATGAGGTTTCTATGTCCTCATACTCATGACTTTCTTGACTATCCTCTTTTGGAGGTTCTGTCGTTGTTGCTTTTGTTGTTGTCGTCGTCACTAGACGATGTGGAAAATATGTATCATCTTCACAACTAAAACTATCATGGAATCGTGTTGTATTAGTATGATTTTCAAGTTCGAGATCTAATCTTTCTAGTTCCTCACCAGATGGATATGTTGGAATGTATTCTATATATTGGAAATTACAGGAAATACTTGCAATGTCATTCTATGAGGGAAGGAATATGTTAATTGGATATAATTTATTGTTTTCAATTCCCCAGTGCACAAACGAAAGCTTTCATGGGATCTAATTGAGTACTTACAATAAGATTGGCTAAAATAATTGGAATAAAAATTCTAGAGTCCATAACTTTTATTTATTTAAGGACTAATTTCATCACTTTATGGATTATCTTTTTTAATATAACTATACTCCCGACTTTATTTCACTTCTGTTCCTTAAAATTACTCGATTGGAACGATATCAGATGAAAACTGAGATAACAGATCTGTTAATATACATTATTTATACAATCGATTCCTATTTGATCAATATCGAAGTCTTATCAACAAATGTACTCAAAAATTGTATCCAAACGTTAAATAGAAATATTAATGGATATCGTCAACAAGGTATTATGGGCAATTTTCATGTTTTTTTCGCACACGTTGTCTAAATGGATTTTTAAGTAGGCAAATAAAATGCAGGATTAACTTTTATCTCTTTAGATTCTGAATTTCAGGCTTTTAAAGATTCCTCAATACGTGTCTTACGTTATGAGTTAGTGACGCAATTTTTTTACTACATTCCTTGTTGAAAATTATTCTACGTAAATTATGACATGCAAAAAGTCTTAATTATTCTCAATTTTTAATATAAACTTAGTAGGATCATTCTACATTCTACTTATGAATTGCTGCTCAATAACTTACTCATTATACCTGTTTTTGTACAGTAAACAGTTCTCAATTAGGAATTAAAAACAGTTGTTGAGTTTGAAGGTCCAATTAAATATTCAAGTGCTGACGGAACAGTATTTTACTCAGACTATTGATGCTTCTTTTTAAGCACAGACTTTCTGAATGAAAATCAGGATAATCAAGAAAGAATAAATACATAGTTGGTTCGTTTGAAGATTTTTGCCAAGTCATGATCATATGCATAAATTAAGGCTTTCTTGCATTTCTCACGTAGACATTTTATGAATGGGGAATGATCATGGATGCAATGATAATTCGGATGGAAAATTTACTGATAATTATTTGATTAACGTTCTTATTGGGGAATGGATTAATTAATTTTTTTTATGTTATCTGTATTTTAAGAATCTTAATTTACTTCATTTGTGGGTTTTTTGTGTGAAATTTATGCTTGTCTTTATATTCTTTAATGATTAGCGTTCGATTGCTTCCAATAATGTCAAACATAAGGAAATAGCTATTTTGAGTGATACACATCATTTAAATAGCTTTCAATTTAGACAATATATTCTTAATTCTCATTGTACGTCAAAACTTTATAAGCTCTTGTATACCTAAATAAAATCTTATTGATCAATGACCGCAAAATTAATGTGATATACCCTTGATTTTAAACGTGGTAAAATGGTTATAGAACTATTCAAAATCCGTCTTTAACTCAAAAAACCCCAATCCACTTGTATACATATTGATAGAATGATATTATTTACCTGATTCAACTATCTGGGGATTTACATTCATGAACTTAAAGAAGGAAATAAGTATTTTACAACTTTCTTCTGTCATATCTTGTTGATGAGATATCCTTTTAGTTAATACATGTCTGAAAACCCCAGATTTAGATGATTGTTATTTAAGAACGATCTTTAAGTTACTCTGGTCTGAATTCTCACAAGTGCTTCTCATGGGCTATATTACTATGAACTCATTGGTTCAATGCTTTAAAATTGAGTTACAAATTGAAAAAGTTTGAACGATTGTGTAAAACTGAACCTCACTGATCATTTAAATTTCCCATTCTTTCAAGGCATTGACACTCATTTCATTCAGATGAAAGATTATTTTGTTCTAGATAAAATTATTTCATTGTTCCGAATGAAAAAGATTTAAGTGTCGATGTCTTGCATTGTTGAGATTAGATCCTGAGATAAGACTTGTAGATTTCAATTTGAATTTAAAGCTCCAGCGAGTTATATACGCAGAATTATACGCACTTACATGTCAGTCAACAAAAAATCACATTAGTAGCAATAAAAACAATTTATAACTTTTTTTTCTATTTTTTCAACTTCCTCTGTTGTAAAAAACAAATCTTATCGTAATTAACTTTATTTTAATGTGCTTAACGTAAACTTAACGAGTGGTGATTAAATAATAAAAATTTAAATTAGTCTTAATTTAATTGTTTAAGAGATCCAATATCGGGTAATTTAGAGTACAGAAAGACACATTCACAATTGCTGGGAATATCAAAGTCTTCATATGCACTCATCTTTTCTTCCTTGTTCACAACTTTCAATTGAATTTTCATATACTTTTGTTTACATATTGTCTTCTTAAATGGAAGTATGTAGCTACACGGCAAACCGACATTCTCACATTCCTCGACTTCAATTAATTGTGAAAATCGTTTATCATCTTCAACATCGTATCCTCGTTCTCTTGCTAAATCATTTGGATTAATTTGTTTTTTAACTGATTTACAAAGTTGCGTTGTCTCATAATCATCACTGCTACTATCTTTATGTCCAAATTTAAATGATATCTCTGGACATTCTGCTTTTTGATCTTCTTCTGATGAACTTAGATTGTTACTTTCTGGTATTGTCGCAAGATTCACAGATTTCTAAACAATAGAAACATTTATTAAAATCTGTTGGAGCTACAAATTAAATCAAGTGACTTACAATTAATACTGTCAGCATGCTATAGAATAAAAGTGTCGACAACATCCTCTGTTTATGCATTTAGAAAACTTTTTGTGTGTTTATCTTCGTTTTCTAACCCTCTCAAAAAAAAAATTGATGTGTTGTGCTCAAGTTATTTTGTTCGACTAACAGAATATCTCATGAGTAAAACTTACTTAAAACCTCTCAGAAACAAAACTTTATATTTATATTTTAAAATAACACACAACAATATCTTTTATATTGTAGTACTCGGGTTTTTCCATTATTCATATGTATTTCGCTACACAAGCCAAGAGATTCGCATTTGTTTTTCTCATAATCTGTGCATGCATTTTTTTCTGTAATACATGATTTTTCTTGAAAATGTTACTATAAAATTTGCAAAGAATTATTTTATAAGTTGATAAAGCCCCTTCGAGTAGGAAATTATGAATGAGTCAAGCGTATGAATGAAATGCAAAATATTGTTTAGATCAGTTCAATGCTTTATATTTAAATTGACATTCACAACCTGACGGTATGTATACGCTTTCATCGATAATATTTTGATCATTTTCATTTAAAATTTTGATTGTGTGCGTTTGATATTTCTGTTTACATTTTGTTATAACGTTGACAGGAAAGTTAATGTCAAATTTACATGCCTGATTTGCATTACTAAAACGATAAAAGAAGAAAAAGAAATGTGAAAAGTCATTAGATGTCTGGCTGTTCGGTGCAATCATTCTGAGAGCTAATTCAGCTAAACTTTTAAAAGGGTTAAGTGTGTTATTGGAAATATTTGGTAACATTTAAAATTTAAACAATTTTCAAATTTTGAGTTTAATGAGATTAATCGATTTTTAAAAATATAAAATTGAGTTTAAAAAACCTAAAATAAGAATTACCTAATTAAATTTTGTTGGTTTTAATAAATTCCAATTAATTTTACCACGTTTTTCTTAACTTGTTTTAACTGTTTTACAATATGGTTCGGATTCAAGTAAGTCCAAAGGATATGGTTCAATTGATTACATTTGCAGTTCCTTCAGCTCAAAAGGCTGAGCCCTTCTTTACAAATGGATCGATTCATCAGAAACTACACACTTTCTTGGATACTATAAACATGACATTATTGGGTATTTCTCCAACTTTAATGATTTTTTCTGGGTCAAGGAATTTACGAATATATACTACAATTCTCCTTTATTCTGTAGGAAAAATTGAAAATCTTGGCTGTAGGGCTTTTTTAAGAATTGATCAAAAAACATTTTCTTTTTCACACATTAAGAATTAATTAACAATCATTTATACTTTGACCAATTTTATTAGATTCAGTAAACATTCAGACCAGATTATTCCAAGGCAATAAATGCATTTATCGAAAAGAGGGAGAAGGGGAAAGTTTGTTTCGAAATTCGAGCAAATAAAACAAATTTTCCAAGAAAGTGGTGGTGGTGGGGGGGGGGTATTGAGCCCCATCCTGAACATGCACCAATGCAATAAGGTTCAGAATGCATTCATATTAAATGTGTTTAGAAATCGCTGAATTGATACGTTGAGATAAAAGAGTTTATAATGATTTTAAAAAGGTCTGATCAAAGACTTTGTGACCTTTTACCTTCGCTGGCCGTACAGATCAATTGTGATCCATGGCCTCCCTTAGATGGCGCCTGAAGCTGACTCTGTCGCTGGCTTCCGTTTGCCAATTAACCATACCAAATGCAATACTGTCTCTGTCAACAGCTTCTTTCCAAGAGTTCTTGGGTCGCCCGCGTGTTCTTTTGCCATCTACAAAAACATTCTTAAAGACTTTATTAATGGGAGCAAAGACTTTGTGACAATTTAAACAAAATAAATTGTTTAATATTGGTACTTAAGTCTCTTAGAACACATGTGTAATACTTCCTACCAGAACACATCTGACTACATTTTCGGTGCTTCACCTAAGCGTTTATCATTCCCAAAAGGTCTGGTTTTTGAAATTTCATAAAATGTTCAAAGATTGCCACATTTCTCATTATACAATCTGAACTTTTACTTTCAATCACCATTTAAAGTCTAACTGAGCGAGTATAGAAGCGCAATTGTTATGCAGAAATGAGTTAAATAATAATTATATTGAAGAAAAAAAGAGAAAAGGAGGAACGAATGACACGATTTCTCATTAAATATGCGGTTTTCACCTCTCTCAATTTACCTGCATGTTTCTATCGTTACTTCTTGTTGGAACTTTCCATGATTGATAACTATAACCCTTTTATTCAATAAATTACGTAAAGTTTGGGGAAATATTCTCGATTTGATCGAATCACAAAGCGGTTCCGTTTGTTCAAATGCTTCAGATGAGTCATTCAACGGATTTGCTTCTTTTGCTGATGATCCAAAACGTGACGAAACTAAAACTGAATGTATTGTTGGTTCAAAAGGTTTATAGCCATCAGCATCACCGTCATCGCATATAAAAACTTTTGATCGTGGACGTTTTGTTGATAATTTTAGAAGAACTTTTTTCTCCGATGCAATTGTGTTTATCAACTTCTCGGGATAATTTGTCAGCTGTTCCTCATATGTAAAGTTACAGATTACTGCCTTCTAAAAAATTATGGAAACTTTATTCAACGTCATTTGTTTAGAAAAAGTATTAAGTTATAGCCTTACACAGGAAAATAGTGCTGATAAAAACAGCAAGCTCAGCAAAAACGTTTTCATTCTACGAACATAATTTACTAAAAGCACTTCCAACTACCGGTATTAAAGTATAATTATAAACTTTTTTTTTTCACTAGATAATAATCACAACAACGATAACGACAAATATGATGTATTCATATCGACCGTATACTGACAACTGGAAAAAAAAACATCTGACTTAGTGGTCGATTTCCGAGAGTGAGAGGCAAAAAAGTAAAAAAGAAATCAAAGCTTTACTGTTAATTTTCATGTGTTGACTATTTTGTGAATGAACCAAAATAAAAAATACACATTTATAATACCAGTGGAAGAGCAAGAAAAACTTGATGAGAAAATGAGAAACGTGCTCTTGTGTCATACTGTATATTATTGGACGGGTCTTCTCGATTGTGGGAATTTCCTAGTAAATTAAACATTTTAGTAAATCGAGTGAAATTCCCAAAAGAGTTCATTTGCTTGGGGACGTTCTTAAATGACGCGCTTCAAAAATGCACAGTGACAGATCCTTGCCAGTCCCTCCTTTTTCATAGAATCTAATCATTGAATATACTAGAATAAGGGAGTACTTTTTGGAATATTATTTGCTAGGCCCCTGTTCCTTTTTCATAAAATCTTTATTGAATAAACATTCTAGTATAAGCATCAAAACTATCGGGTAGCAAGTAAGGAACCATACTAGGTTGCTATTGTAGAGATCATTTGATTATTGAAATTTTTCTGATTTAGCTTTGGATCAGCTATAAATTTGCAATAAATAGATAAGGAAGCAAGTAAGGATATGTTTTCAGCCAACGATAAGTTTCTTATGATTAAAATAAATTTATTTAATTTAAAAGGTTAAATTCTATACAATCATCATTAATTCTGACAGATAAACTTCAATCCATGTTATCTGGATTTCACAAACACATTTTTGCAATGATTCACAAAGCTTCCGTTTCAATATAGTTTTATTACTGTCTGTGGTGTGTTGCGAGAATCTCCCGCTCTCTTATTCGTCTTATCGTTGATAAATTTAGTTCATGTCCAAATGGATTTTTTGCGATGTGTCATCTGCTTGCGTCAGTTTGTTATGATGATAATGTTAAGTCAAGGACGTTCGAGTAGAGATTTACGAATACCTTGTAAGAATTGGTTTTTCATAATTATGCAATCGCAAGATGATGGAACGTAGAAGTTCTCCATCACTAAGCTATTATTTTGATCATTTAATGACCATAAATTGATTTTCATGTAATTTTGATGACAATATGATTCTACAGTGTTTGGATATGTGTCCCAAGTGCATGGAAAGTTATCACTGATGCATTCTTCAATTCTCATGAACTGTGTGAAATTTGCATGATTCACAACCACTTTTAGCTTATTTTGAGCATTTCTCAACATTTTTGGTCTTATAAACTTTATTTTTGATTCACACAATTTTGTCTCAACCAGGAACTCATTTGCGTCATGTTCATCTCTTTTATGTCTTACTTGTTCGTGCACGTTTTGATTTGGGAATTTGTACCTCCACAATTCTAAGCTATTCAATACTTTCAAAGGATAATCTAGATCTTCTTCACAATCGTAGAGATCACAAAACTTTCCAGCCAAAGCTGATGTTAGAAGCATCGAAAATATATAAAATTTTAAACTCATTATGCTGTATTGACTAATGAATCTGATCTGTCTGATTGATTTATTACGATTAAATTCAATGCACTGATCAGCAATCAGCACGAGTAGAGGAAATAACCTATTTTGCATGTTTACATGACATTGAGAAATAATGCAGTTTGATAAGGCAGACTGAAAACAAAATTGACATTGAATAAAATTCTATCGCAGACATTCTAAACCAGTGATATTCAAACCTTTTGTTGTTGATTGGTTGAAAGGATTTAAATTGTGAATCGTGAGAAATTTGTCTGAAGCTTTATTTGTTAATTAAATATCCTTAAGGTCGTTCAAAAATGATGTCTTAATGATCTTGTACTGATTCGAAGTGTCACATAGTAACGGAGACCCACTAAGAATTAGGTATCATTTATAGACGATCTTTATCAATTAGTAAATAAATTAGAGATTTTGTTGAATGTATTGAAATTGCGGTGTATAAAATTTATGTTGCTTAAGGGATGAATTTCACGTGTATCGTAAATTCCAGAATAGCTTAATTGGTGACGATTACTTCGTGAATTAAAGGCATTAGTAAATCGCCTCTACTGGAAAATAATATTATTGTTCTATGTTAAGAATCTAAAATTAAAAAAATTATTTATCTTCGTTTCTGTTTAATTTGTTTTTTTTTTTTTTTATTTCAAAGTCTAAATCATTCATAAATTACAAACAAATAATGACTGATGTATTTTAATTAATTAATTACTTTATAATTTAAATTTTTCATTACTTCGAGATTAAAGATGGTGGTAAATTTTTACTTAAAGGAGATTAATTATTGAAAATTTCAGAATTTTTCTCGATAAACTTTTTATCATTATTAAAACGCCAATAAGTATTAAAAAAGATAAAGCAAAGATTTTATCTGAAATTTGATATTCTTATCGCCATCAAAAGTATAATTAAGAGATATTTAGTCACAAAAGCTTTAATTTTGCTTCGTGTTCATCAATTTATGAAGAAAATTAATATTTTGAACTTCCTAAACGTGACTAAAGTGACATTGCTTAACAAAACTCTTAAGTAATAGAAGAACTACTGCCAATTTGAAAAGGCTAACAGATAGAATTAACAGTAACAATTTTGAGTAATTGGGACTCAATGATTAATGTTTAGCATCTACAATAACTTTTAGATTTATCATTAATTTGTCACTTTTGAAACTAAAGCATATCTACTTAATAGAATAAAAGGGGTCATTCATAAATGATGTTGAATTGATTAAGATCTCTTTCATCCCTCGCCTTATGTATGAACGACCCCAAACAGAGAAAACTAATTTTTTACTATTTTTAAGCTTTAATGAGAAGAATTTTTCATCAAGAAGAAATAAGTAAATTATGGTCTACAAAAGTCATTTTTATAGGATACAGATATTTAATAAACTTTTTTTTGGCAAGGATTATGCGGAGAAGTTTTGTTTAAATAAAAAAATTTGACACTGAGAATGCTAAGAAATCGTGGTTAAGGCTTGCTTTTATATCTTTTACAACTTATTAAAATCATGCTTTAGCATTAAATTGATCATTTAAAAAGCTACGTCATGTTAATCCTTGGATTAAATTTAATCTAAAGCTTAATGCTGCATGTTCGTTTAATGTTAAAAACGTTAGCTAATTGAACTCAATAAAAAAGCTGCTGCTCATCACGTAATCAATCAATTGATTAATTAAAGTCAAAAGGAATTGACGTAACATTCTCGTGTCAATTTAATTTGATTAAACAATTTACGGTAATGAACTAAAAAGTATTAAAGATGGAATATCACGCAACAGTTAACAATTAAGCATTCATCTGAATTTAAACAAAAAACAGTCCCTAGAAATTGTCAAATAACGCAAATAGAAATGAAAAACTTTTAAACTTCAACTTTTCGTGTTTTTTTGCTAAAATAAATTAATTGGAGTTTGAAAAAGTTTTCCTTTTGTGATCGATTAAGGGGATTATTTATATCACAGACAATTTGCAAAAATTCTATATCATACTCTCATTCTTGTCTCTTACTTTATATCATTTACTAATTTAATGCTTCATGCACAAAATATTTCATAATTCATCCATTTATTATTTGACTTATAAAAGGCCACTACGCTGCTATAGAACTATTTCTTGAGGCTTTATGATAACCATATAATTAATTATTATTCTTATTGTATATGATTTATTTTTGTATTTTTCTTGATATTGAAGCTTTCCTTCCATAAATTTACTCTTTATGTCATTCGAAAGCATCCAAAAAAATGTTTATTTTTTTTGGGGTAAGAAAGCAGTCTAAAAATCTTCGATATTTTCATCCATTTTGGATATTTTTCATAATTTATGGCAATAAAGTGCGGCAAATTCATATTTGTATCTTGGGTTTTTATTATAGTATGATTTTTTCGTCACTCTTGTAAAAATTTTGCTAGAAAACGCCTCATATTTTATTATTATCATGAATATTGATATCAAAGCTGTAAAAACTTGAAATCCAGTAGCAAAAATATTACAAGAGCATTCATGTCACTTTTTTTTTATTTTCATTTTAAAATGCAGAACTTTTTTCTCTTTTCCAACTACTTAACAAAAATATTTCAAGGATATGAATCATTTCTTACTCAAAAATTAATGTCTTTTAAAAAATTTTAAATAATGGCTTCAAAAAAAATTAGATTTTTTGAAAACCGTTAATTTTCAATTTTTGAAATCCGTTATTTTTTTGAGTCATTTGTGATATGAAATTTACAGTCTGAAACAATCGTATCCTTGAATCATATTCTAAAACTCTTAAATTTTTCTCTTATTAGTTCCAATCACTTTGATATCACGTTGATATATTTTTGTGTTTTGTTTTATTTGTTCACCCCTGAGTGACGTAATAAATTGACATCTTTCAAACCTTAAACATTACACAACAATAACATCATTCATTATTATCCTTATTCATTCTTTTCATTAACATTCATTGTCTTTCATAAATTAAAGGAGTTTCTGTGTTTGAAATACTTTACAATACAATTGTCATCCATGCAACTCAGCTGATTGTTTTTAAAGTCTCGTCCTGATTGTTAGTAATTCTGTGGAGAATAAAATTAATTGTCAGTAATTAGCATGCTAATGAGCTCAGTGAAATCATCAGTTTAAACATGAATATTAAACAAATAGAGCAATCACCTAATAATCATAAAATTTGCACAATAAAATAAGTTTTGCTTGCAAAAAATAAATAACAAACTTAAGTGCTTGAGGCACGTGCCGTGTCAGTTTGTACAGCAATTAAAACAGTGCAAAGCAATTACTATTAAATTCAGGTAAATCATAAGAAAAACTATACAAAAAGTAAATTATGTGTGTCACTCTACAAGAACTACCAAAAAATAATAATAATAAGGAAAAAATCACACAAAAGGACTTTTGAATTTTCTGAAAAATTCACCTGAATATCGGCGATCTTGATGATGCTGAACGATATGATGTCAGCAGTTTCTCACCTCTTTTCTTTTCTTTTTCTGTTTCGACTTGAATTAACACATCATCACTTGGCCTAATCGTATTCTTTAACGTTCTTACAAAATATCTCGGTAATAATGCCATTACAGGTGTCAGGAATAAGATAAAATAGTAAATTGGATTCGACATTGTATCTTGAATTGTTCTCGCAGTATTTGGCAGATCCATGCACGTCCGACAGATTGTATTGTATACAAACGCAAAGATGTAAAACGATAACAAGCTTAGTGCAATAGCACCCACGTGAATTATTGTCTGTAAATCAAAAACTCATGCTTAGTTACGTCTATTGAATAATATTTTTCAATTAATCAGACTTACCCATGTCCTCACTTCAAGTGCAAAGTGACAAAGCATTGTAACTAGACATGATGAAACAATTGTTGCTCCAAATTCCCATATTCCAATCGTCGTATCTTCAAATGCTTTAACAGCAATGAAAAATATCACTAAACTCTGCCAGAGAGAGTCAAGCATCACCAGCCAAAATTGATTTCTGTAGCCTTTTCCTAGTCGTCCCTGTAATAAACGATAAAGTTCATTTAACAATTAAATATTTCCAGATTAAAACTAATCCAGTTGGATTAAACTAAATCAATCCTTACATAACGGTATAATCTGGGATTTTTTATAAGAATGTCCTCGTGAAGTCTCTTCTCAAAAGCTCCGATTGCTAATGGTGGTGCGGCCGTAAACATAAAATTATAAATCATAACATACATTTGTTCCATCATTACGGAACCTGAAAATCCGCTGTATAGTTGGAACCAGAAAAGAACGAATACAAATGTCTAGAAACAAATAATGATAAGAAGCAATAATTAATCAATTTAAGAGATTAAGGATATTATGTTACTTACAGCGTTTTTGTAGAAGAAGTAAATAATTAATTTAGCAAGTCTGTCATAATTAAGATGTCCGTGAATTAGTAAAAGTTTTTCTAGAAATTTAAACTTTGGTGTCGCAAAATCTGACGCCATAACTGCTTGCATTCCTTCTTGTCCACATATTCCTACCCCTACGTCTGCCATTTGAAGCATGCTCACCTAAAAATTATATTAATTTGATTGATATTGTTAATTAATTTACCAAAAGATTTTTTACAAGACAGAACTTACGTCATTAGCGCCGTCTCCAATTGCTAATGTTGACATTTTAAGTTCCTCTTTGACAACTTTCACGAGAAAGGCTTTTTGTAAAGGCGTTGAACGACAACAAAGCACACTTGAGCAATACCGTGTTAGTTCAAGGAAAGGTGTCGTTAAATTTGATTTCAAGTCAAGGATGAATGTAAGGGTCTTTCCATCAACAACCAAAGCTCGATTTCTTAAATATTTGGTATCATTACCCGCTTCAACAAGTTGCTTCTCAATCTCATCCATATAAAATTTTATAGCACTCTCGGCAGCGCCTTTCGAACGAGCTGTAAGCTTTAATATTTCCATTTGAGAGTGAAAAAGTTTGGCAGAGTATGCAATATTTATGGCCGTTTCTGTCTTATCTCCTGAAAGAGCAAAAGAGGTTGCGTTTAATTTTTTAAAAATTTATACTATAGTCAAAGAAAAAATCTAATATTTAATTTTAGATTTGTATGAAAAAATCTAATAGAAAATTTTTGTTTTGCAACCATTATTTTAGATTTCTAAAAGGAATTTTTGTAATCAAAAATTTTATTTTTAATTCATACTTTAAAAAAATAAATAATTTTCTTTTAAACCCAAAACTCAAATTTAATTTTTTAAATTAAAAAGTAAAATTCTAGAATCTTAAGTAAAGATTTTTGAATTTAAAATAATAATTTTTGATTTTTCATATTCACACAAAATTTTCAATTTTTGTGAATATATTTAAATTTATCTTTAACCAAATTAAGTTGATGGAAGTGACAGAACTCATAAAACATAGAGCACGAATGCTTGTGAGGCAGAGGAAATTTCATTCATGTGAAAGATATTCTTATAAATATCTTAAGTTTGTATGGAAATTTAGGTTGGACTTGATGCCATGATTTTTGCGTAGTTTTGTTTTGCTTCAAATATTTCAATAATTGTTTTCAATAATCAAAAAGAAAAACTTTTAAATTTAAAAATTTTTCTTTAAGTTGCAAAATTTTTCGAATTCAAAAATTGTACATTAAAATCAAAAGTTTTATTTTGGAATGAAAATTTAAAAATTTGCACTTTAGATTTTTAAAATGAGTATTTATAATTTCAAAACTTTATTTTAAAATTCAGAAGAAAATTTTTAAAATTTAAAAATTTTACTTCAGATTTTAAAATTTCAATTTGAATTGACAAATTTTAAAATCTAAAGTGGAAGTTTTTGAATTTTTTTCCTGAGTTTAAGAAAAAAAAATCGAAAAAATGAGGTTTCGAATTTTTGAAAGTCGGTTTATTAATAGGCACGCGGCTTTTACCTGTCAACACCCAAACAACAATTCCAGCTGATAACAAACCAGCAATGGTTTCCGGAACATCTTCTTGAAGACGGTCTTCAATACCAGTTGATCCAATCAATGTTAAATTTCTTTCCAATAATCCAAATGATTCTCTAATCTTTTTTTCACGACCTTCAGATGTCATTTCATGTTCTTGATGCTCTGAATACCATTCGCTAAATTCTACAGGATTTAAGTTCCGTTTTGCTATCAGCAAGACCCTTAAACCTTGTCGTGCATATAAATCTAACTGATGCTGCGTCTTTTCCCTTAATCTATATTCCTCACTCTCAACAGCACATTGAGCTAAGGCAGGCAATATTGTACTATCAGCTCCTTTTGTATACAGCATGACGTCATGTCCACCAATCTTTCGTACAACGATTGACATACATTTTCGAATTGAATCGAATGGTAAAACTTTAAGAATTTCATACTCGACAATTCCCTCGTTTGGTTCATTAATAAGGACGGTATTTGGATTACGATTTTCTAGCACAAAGCCATAAGCGAACGCTGAATTAACAAGTGCAAGCTCATCAGGTGATTCAGCTTCATATTGATTAGTGGTAACAGTTTTTTGGTGTTTATTCGTTGACATTTGCAGTAATTTGTGCTTACTGCTTATATGAAATTTCTTTATTGACTTGCTTATTGGCAGTTTTGAGACTTGATTGATTATGCTCTTTTTCACTCGACCCGTCGGAGTGATACTCTTTATTCTCATTGGCGGTGAATCGGATTCAGGTGATGATTCTGCGGAACTACTAATTGGCGAAAGAGAGGGAACATGATGCACTTTTAGAGAATTTGGCGGCTGTAATTTATTATTAGGATTAATAGGCGTTGGAGAGGGTGAAATTGAATGAGATTCAGATAATCTTAGATAATGATCATTCATTAATGGATCTGATGGCTTTACTAAAGTCACACTTTGGTCATCACCATGTTCAACAAGTCCGCTCGCATTCATATTGTCTCGATGTGGCGATTCCGATACCACAACCGTATTGCACAATGCTAAAACTGTGAAAAATTCTTTACATCGCTGTGCATGCAACGATGGACGCCCATTTGTATCACAATGATTTAAATCTATTTGTAGGTTTGTATTAGGAACTACTGGAGGCAACGGTGCATGCGGCAAGCTTATTTTTTCATCTTCACTTTGTGGATGATTATAATCAAAACCTGCAATTGTGCATCGTCGAAATGCCATTCGATTCTCTGTTAATGTTCCTGTTTTATCACTAAATACATATTGAATTTGACCAAGATTCTCAGTAATATTCATTGCACGACATTCTGTCTTCTTACACGTATGTGGATCATAAAGTTCCGGAGTGTTGTGAATTATTAAGACTTGAACAACTTTACACATCTCTATCGTAACGTATAGTGCTAATGGTATTAAAATCTGCAGACGAAACAAGTGTATGGAGAGAAAATATTAATGACATTGAAAGAGAAAGTCAGCAACTTTAAACCGGAATTGAAAATTGTTCTCTTTATTTACCTGTAAAATAATGACGAGCCGAAAAAACATTAGGATACTCTCATGTCCTGGATATCTCATATCAGCAGCTGTCAAGAAAGGTACTGAGCCTTGAAATTTAGAGAGCCATAAAAAGGATCCAATTGCTCCAACAGCACACAATAGAATTAAAATGGCAACACACCAAACAACATCCATATTCATCTTCTGTTCCAAATACGAACGCTTATATCTAGGCCCGCTGTTATTTAGCATTGCTTTTGTTTCATGCCCGGCGTAAACTACCAGCCCCTCAACAAATCTTTTAAAAAGAAATTTAAAAAATGAAAAATCATTTATAATATAAAATAATGCTCCGAATAAAGTTAAAGAAGCAAAAAAAAAGTATGAAACAAAGGTTTTAAACCCTAGGAAAAAAAAATTTTAAGTCGTTTTTACCTTCAATAATGCATTATAATAAAACAGTGAATTATTGATGTTCCCCAAGTTCGCCAACGTGGAAGCAACGACTGTGAACTTCTGGGTTTTAAACAGTTTTCCTTCTGTATGTATGGACACAACTTTTGTTTAACGCCCTTCAAGTTGGCGAACTTCGGGCAACATCAATAAATCACTGTTTAATCATAATGCGTTATTGATGGCAGAAACGACTTAAAACATTTTTTTTATTTTAGTAAAATTAGTTTTTGAAATAAATTTATACAAAAATTTCAATAGCTCCATATTTCTCTTTTTACTTCCTTTTTAATCGATCTCCTTGACTAAGGAGGTGTTAAAATTTGTTGCATTAAATTGATACTTACGTTGTATTCTGTATGAGAGAGAAAAAATAAAAAGGAAATTTTTTCATTCTTTTATTTTACTGATTTTTAAAATTGTCTGATGTTTTAAACTAATCAATTTAAATAATAGTTTGCATATTATGAATAAATAACGATAAAATTAATTTTGAATTTTCAGTTGTCCTTTAGTGTTTTTCAAATATTTTATAAACGTTATTTTTTAAAAATAATATGACTCTTAAGTTTGAATCACGAACATCTAGTTTGACTTTTTGCTAAATCCACACAATCGTAATATTATTATTAAGCTTTAATTCTTTGTCATGAAACTTGAGACGCTTAATTAAGAAGTAAGTGATTGTGACATTTTTATATTTGACTAATGATATCAAAAGCGCATAGACATTGGATATGCTTACAAACCAGATTGATAGAAAAAGCAAACATCAAACAATTTAAATGTGAATGAACTTTCATACCTTTAATCTACTTTCACGAAGTAATAAATTATCTGATGAAATAGGAACTCTTTCACCACTTTGATGTATCATTGCACCATGAAAACGATAAATTTTAGTTGTAGGCGCATCAATTTCAAGTTTGCTAATATATTTGCTTGCTGTAAAATTTGATTGCCTCTCATCGAATCCTCTCACTACCTGTCGTCGCTTTAAATTTGTTTCACCGTCAAGATCACAAGTCTCAATATAGCAAATACTTTGGGGTTCTGATGACTTCAACAGAAGGATGTCGGCGGGTATTGTTTCGTTGTTTGATAAATGTACGAGATCACCCACGCGTAAGTCCTGCCATCGTATTTTTACGTACCGATCTGTCTCTCTGTAAATAAAAGAAATTAAAAAAAATCATTAAAGGTTAGTCATTAATATTAATTGAGCTTTAAATCAATAAATGAGTTTTTGATGGAACTGTAATTAAATGGATATTATGCGTTCTTGGAATAAACTTTTTTTCATATTTATTTAATTTATTAAAAAAATTTTAAAATAGAACAGCAATGAATGAAAAACAAGCTTTTATTAAATTTTTAATAAGCTCTGCTTTCTATGTAGGCGAAAGCCTCTTTAAATTCATTGAAGTATTTTCACAACTTTTAAGCATTTCTAAGTAATGCCACCGGTTCTGAAAAAAAAATTAAATTTTCGGAAGATAACTTTAATGCCTCAAATTTGTTATAAAGCTGGACTTTTCAATCGTTTTTGAATTCAATAGATTTTAACGCTCTTCAAAATTTAAAATTTTTAAGGTTTTCAAAAATTCATCGACTTTGAAAAAATTTAAATTTTATCGGTGTTTAAAAATAATCAGCCACGCATTGTAAAAGCTAAAAAGAAAGCTCAAAGACAAAGAATTCCCAAGCGTTCTGATATTTTTAACTGCATGCGTAAATCAGCAGCAAAGACATTTCTTTGATATTTTCCAGATATTATTATGGTTTTGACTTGAAAGAAAATTTATGACATAAATTAAACTTAAACGCCTTCACATGGAGCTTTTAAAGTCAAAAATGTTGTTTGTATCCCACGGCAGTTTTAGAAATTCCAAAAAAAAATGTTTTTCCCTCCCTCAGTTATCCACAACGAAGGAAAACTTTTTCGTTGTTGTCTGAAGCTTTTCATCAACTTTTACTGTGGGTTCTTTCTCTTAATTTAGACACTCAGCAATGTTGAGAAACTTGAAATAAATGCACACGTTTTAAAGTTCAAAAACCACTTCATTACCATGGTTTTGTAGTGTTTATAAGGAATACAAAGTGACATTATTATTTACATAGCACAATCACATCTATTATAATCCCTTTTGAAAATTGATTTAAGGAAGTTTCTTCTTGCCTCTATAAATGGAAATGTATTTCAATAAGATTTACTTTTTTCAATCAAATCAAGCAATTTGCAGATAAAATTTATGTCTCTCACATTTATTTCGCTTAATACTCTCTTAACTCATGCGAATGAAACAAGATTAATCGAGCTCAGTGGCTTTCATTCTGCCACAAAGGTTACGATGGATCTATCTAAAGTTCAATATTTCCCTTAGACTCATTACTTCCTCAGTGTCATTTAACTCTATTAAATGAATTTATGAGGTTCTGTATATTTATTGTGTTCATAATACTGTCATGGGTATTTGATAATATAAAAAAGCATGCACATTTAATAAATAAATGAGACAAGTGTGGCTAATCGATTAAGTGACATTCAACATTTTCATTCTGTTTATGAGATAGTCAATTTGAAAAGTTCATTGATAAAGGTAGAAGAAGATGAAATATGAATTAAAAATGTTTTGCATAATTTTTGCTAAACGCAATTTTGATGCGAATTTTTTGCATCATTAAATTATACTGAACATACTCTTTAATCAAAAAAAATTTAATTTATTAAACAAGCCACAATTCCATCATACCAAGTTTGTCTACCTTATAAAAAATTTAATGAATCTTTTAGTTATTTCCTGTTTCTTTATATGAATCATTTTGACATAACACAGCCTTAAAATTAAATGATGCATTATGTCTTATGTCCCCATAAAAATAAATACAATGATATAACCATACTTCTTAGTGATGTAAATAAATCTCTACACTAATCCTGTTTAATATTCCGTCCATAATTTATTTAGTCTTTTATGATATCATATGAAGCACTTCAAAATCACTTCTGATTTTTTCAGTAGCAAACACATTCCTTAAAGTTGGCATAATTGTTTTTTTTTTTGCTATTAATAAAACATTCATAAGAGCCTTTTCTTACTATCGACATAGTCGAATATTGAACTGTCTCATTTGTCACTGTCTATTGTGCAGAAAAAATATGAAAATTGTAGAGAAATGACCGTCAAATGTAGCTTTCACATCTTACCATAGCAAAAATAAAATGAGGTCATAAAGTAAATTTACACACTTATAATAAACACATGTGTCAACAATGTCACAGCAACAAACAGAACCGGTATTTTACATACAAGTACTTTTATTCATGTATCCATAAGTGGACGTAATAAGAAGATATTGGGGGTGGAAGCTTGAGAAAATTATTATTATTATTATTATCTTTAGCTTGAGAAAATTTGAGTCGAGAAGGCGTAAGTAAAAAAAAAGAAAATTATCATGCGACAAACTTGACACTTCTCCTTCATCTTAATCCTTATTACGTGCGCACTATAAATACATTTAAGAAGCTATAGAAATAAATCAATGAGGAATTCAACAAGTTTGTGCTAACAAAACGTCGTCAACAGCGAATCAAGACGTTGTACTTAATTATACAAGTGCGCCTGTTGATTCCTCTCGTCTCTATTATTCAATGATATCTAAATTTTTAAAGTCAAATTTTACCTTCATTAGCAAAAACTAGACAGAAAACAACCTTTAAACTCCTGGAAATGATTAAATAGATTTAGAAAACAGGAGAAACTATCCTTAAAAGAAACAGATATTGAGTGGTATTAAAAACCCTAGCATTAATAGTAATGAACCCACATCGATTCACACGTGATTATTCTTATATTTTAGCTCTTGATGAATGAAATGCTAAAAGCATGGAAAAACTAGAAGAAAAGTATACGAATATTTTTTTTGACATAATTTGGGTCGTGTTCATATTTATATCTATTACTTATACATCATGTATCACAAATCGGAGATCAAATATTCGCACAGTAAACAAATTAAGAAAACTTTCAATTTCCTTTATTTTTTTCGGTTAATAAGAACCAATCATCTAAAATTGATATCGATCTTTGATGATGATTTGTATCTTCGTACAGATCAACTTGATGAAAATTATTGAATTTGTATGCTTATCAATTTCCTGATGCGTAAAAGCTTATTGTGATGTAGTTTTTTTCATGCACGTGAGCCCATGAAAAAATAATTTGTTTGATCAGATTACACATGATAGATAATAATTATAATTTGCGTATATATTCCATGACTTAACGAACAAGGGAAGTGAGTGCTCGTTGCTTTGATTTTTCATGAATATTTAAAATATGAATCTACCATAAAATATGTTATTGCTGATCAAACCTCTTCATTAGATCGACAATAACCCACATTAAGTGCTCTACTCGAGACTATAATAACTTCATTCATATATAAACATCATCAAGTTCCCATCCCTAACTCGTCTAAAAGACAACGCTGCATTTAATTCCGCAAAACTTGACATTGACTCTCAGTACTTAATAAATCGTTAAAAGTATAGCACAACACAGCACATGTCAGCTTCTGGAGGTGAATTTATGTCGACTTTCCTTAATTGCCTTATTCAGTGTACATCATAATACTTTAAAGTACTTAAATACATAATGACACTCTTTTTCCTTTTACCTCCATGTGTACACACGAAGAACATTAAGGAATAAACAGTGACTGAATAAGGTAATTTGTATTATCATAATGATATTTGATATTATAGTTTATTAAATATATCAGCAGGCTGTTAGATGTGATGAATTCTTTTTATTTATTAGCGCAACCATTAGCTGCTTGATGTGAAACTGGCTTCTTATTTGCTTCCTCAAACTTGTGTGAATGAGAACTTTCAGTTCTACTAAAACTTTTTCTCGTTAAGTATGAGAATATTTTTAATTATCAAGATTTAAGGTTGAGGAGACACATTTCTGTATCAAGGATAAGTCTTGAATCATTATGACCTTAAGAAATTTAAATTCAACGAAATAAGCCAACATACAACCAAAACTAAAGCACTTTTAAATACACGGATCTAGATGTACACACAGTGATATATATGAATAATAAATGCTCTGTTTACGACAGCCGTTTTGGGAATTTCGCTTCGTTTTTTTGTTAACACAATTTTTGATGAAATTTTTATATTTTCAAGGTTCAATGTCAGTATGCGTCACAGTCATTGTACAGAAAAAGTTTATTATCAAAACTCTATATAATGGATTATTATTTTCTACAAACTCATTTGCGATTTACGTGATTGAGTCGGAGCATTGAGACAATAAAGAGACAGACTTCGACATTTTCAATAAAAAAAAAAGTCAATGGGATTATTAATCGTTTGAATGGTTTTAAGGGTTATTGGGTATGACAAATTCATAAAACAAGAAAAGTTTTACTTTCCCCTCAATTCAATGAACTGTTAAAAAATTAATTATTGATGATATTATGACATGTTAACAGTAACACAAATTACGATAATAGCCATTCGAGTGTAGTGGAAATTTATGGATTGATATAGCGATAATGATGACAAGTGAACTGTTAACGCTTAAGGAAGTGTTAGAAGGATAATAATTGATATTTGGTGACCATTTAACTAATATAAATATACGTGAATATTGGACATGTGATTAATTTGGCAAATTTAGCATCGAATTACAAATTATGTCCGTGGGAAATTCCATCCGAATTAAATCATTGCACTCTTTCATAACTGAGCCATTTCCATTTGGGGTTTAAATTTAATTTTATTGTCCATTAACTTGAATTTTTATTCGCGTATTCATTATTATCGGCGACCTCTATGAGAAAAAAGAAATAAAAAGCGAGTTATTGGCAATGCTTGCACCACATATAACCACATTATATACAAATACATGCTATAATTTATCAAGGCATAAAAAATAACCTATTTATTTGATGTCTTTCCATCAAAATAAATATAATAGTAGGGAGAGTAGACAAAGAAGGAACATAAGCATATAATAATTCTCAAATAACAAAAGAATTTTGTAAATAAAACTTGTGAAATTATAATTTATTCATGTTTCAATACGCATGATATAAACTCAACTTCAGTCTTTGTGTCATTTACAGTTTCCATTTATTATGAATTGTTTTA